GGCGGCAAACCGATACTCTCCTCGGATCCCAATTCCGTAAAATTTTTCTCCCATCGAATCCCACTCATTGTGATGCCTATCTTTACGTTTTTAGTACGTAACTGAGCTATTTTTTTGAGCCTTTTCCTCATCTGATATTCCAACTGAACCAGTGTAGCAAAAGCGTTGTGTAAGTAATGTACGTCCTAATACCTACCACTTTTTTTTGTGCGTCCAAGAGTCATCCAACGATTGATTATACAAACTAATCGAGTAAAATCCGTACACACTTGGACAGAAAAATATTTAATTGCTGAAATTAGGATTGTTGAACTCCCCTGTGAGACACCCATTTTAAAGCTCTTACAGCTTTTAGCGCGTAGACTTGACAAATTTCGCCGACGACCTGTGAGTCTGTGAGAACGGCGCGGCGTCGCCGCGCCGTGAGCGTACTGACCATCTAAACGCCTTCATTTTTTTGGGTATGCAACACAAACATCCCTTGAGCAGGAATAGTTGCATCCCAAAAAGTTGTGTCACGCGCGCTCATCGGTTCATGATAGGTCTCACGGCTTCCTCTCAAATTGAGGCTAACATTTCTCGAGCAAAGGCCGTTTGCCACCGATAATTTTAAAACTGAGGTCCCCTTTTTTCTTCCTGTCGACGATTTTCAAAATTCTGTTGACATTTTTTGTGAAGACAATCTCATACTCCCAGAAATATTACGGAAACATAGTATAAATATTACTTAATCCAGCTTATAATCTTCATTTCTCTCTTGTGCCTTCTTTCTCAAGGCCTTGACTTAATTTTTTTTTTTTTTTCCACCAGAGAATTTCCAGTTAATTTCTACAACCTCCATTACACATTTAGTGACACAGCAAGACAGATTTAAGAGAGCGACATGCAACTCGTAAGTCTTTCCTTTTTCAAAACCATTCTGTTCATGAATTTTTTTGTCTCAATATTTTTGATGATTCTTCTAAAACCCCATTTAATGGAGTAAAGGGGGGGGGGATCCCTTCGATTTAGTACATTGAAAACATAATTTGTCAACTCAAATCATAGAGGTAACATAAGCACAATGTGGGGAAGCCTTAAAAGTATTTTATCACCATAGAGGGAGAGAGGGGACTTAAAGTAGTCTGTATTTTATAAATTGTCAATAATTTTATTTTAATCAGTAAAGCAGTTTGAATTTCTCACCACAGTTTTATGCTTAAATTATTAGTACCTATTAACTTCTCAAACTGATTTACATATATTTGTAAAATGAAATATACATTTCGAATCTCGATTTTAGAGAATTTTTCAACGCAGAGCTTCTGAAGAAAAGGAAAAAAATCCCCTTTGTGTATAAAAGTGATTTTATTTGAAACCTTTTAATATTCTTCGAAGCGATTTTTCATTTTCCATCAATTTTCCAGGTCCGAATTCAAGTGTAAGAACAATCAATGCATCAGTAAACATCTGCAGTGTGATGGGCGAGCTGACTGCAATGATAAGTCTGATGAAACCGCAGCCCTATGCTCAAACTTAGGTATAATGTAAGTCCCTGTCATTTTCCTAACCACCATCAGGAAGCAGTGTCTTTGAGCATGCAAATTTTTTTGTACTTTGTCAACAGAGGTGCTTTTCCTGTCTTTAAATATAACTAACTCATTACCTATTATTTTCAAACTCCTTTGGAGAAAAATTCAAGGGATTGGATAAAAATGCAAGCAATTTATTTCTTTGAAATTTTGTAAGGTATACTCAAGTATGTAGGTATTCTGGAATGTTAATTCAGCAATTTTTTTTCCATTTTTGAGAGCTTTTTTGAGCTTGGGAGTTTAGGTTTTTTGCAGAATTTCACACAAGGTAATGCACTTAATTTGCAAATCTCTGTAGTATGCAAGAGATTAAGAACAAAGCATCTTTTCACTATTGAGTAAAAGATATGATGAAGATGAAAGTGGCGTAATATCAGTACAGTTGGTTTCAGATGCCCAGGATATGCATTTCAATGTGCCTATGGTGCATGTGTGGATGGTCACGCCAAATGCAACAAAGTCCAAGATTGTGTCGATAATTCGGATGAAACTTTAGATGAATGTAACAATGCAGATGTAACTACGAAGTCACCCACGACTTCTGCAAGACCTCCCAGTTCCTACTGCTTGTGAGTATCCTACAATCATGATGCGTATTTTATTCTCAGAATTAATGGAAACTTTCTTAATAAAGTGCAGAATATTAGGTGCCTAATGTAAGTATCTAGGTATGATACTTTTTTGCAATATCTAGGTAATCTTTTGAAATTGTATGAATGAATTCTCTTCGAATGTAAAAGCTTATAATTCATGGTCTCAGTGGAAGGAAAGCTTTTTAGGAGTATTTTAGTCGGCATTCAGGCAACTGTGTTTCTGTGAAAAACTGTGAGCTTCCTCAATAATCAATAGACTTGATCCATACAAAATTAGGAGTATCTTTAATTGAAAGTTTGCCCAGTTCAATAAAGTGTTTTTTCAGGAAGGGCAGCAAAAGTGCTTAATTTGTTTTTTTTTTCACCCTCTTTCATTCCTGATGGACATTTCCTAATACATGCTGTTCACAGAAACGCATTTAAACGTTCTAGAAATGGAGTTTTAAATTCGCCAAACTTATTTTAAGGCATTTAAATGCACCTGCAGTTTGCATTCTTGCATGCTAACATAACCGATCAGTTTTTCGTTTGATTTAGGAGCAACCAATTCAAGTGCAACTCAGGTCAATGTATAGCCAAATATCTTCTGTGTGATGGGAAACTTGACTGCAATGATGGCAGCGATGAAACGTCTGCTATTTGTAAAGATATTCCGTAAGTAAATGTTTATTTTTCATTTTAATCATCTCAACTTATTGATTAGGAAGAGAAACCCTCAATCATTAACTGTTTATGTCAGTGATGAAATATTTCAGGTAGCTCTAAACATTCAAATATAGTGTAATCTTACTCATCCGATCTTTGCATTATCTGGCAATTTTTCTATCAAGCACCGTCATTTTCACCAGATTTTTTGCCATTTTCATAATTTTGGCCCAAAATTTCCCGTATCACAGCGATTACTTATTTTCACACAACAACATCAAGCAAGCTATTTTACATTTTCTCACACTATTTCTTGTTGATTATGTATGCATCATAGATATATAAGTAGGTACATAATAGATGTTTAATAAGTTCAGAACTTGAGAGGGTGAATATACTTTAGATTATCCGATATTTTAACTAGGTATCTAATGTCTCATCCTGCCTCTAATAGTGGAATATTTGAGATTTGTCTGTGCAAGCAGTATCAAAAATCTGTATTTATTGCCAGAAATGCCTAGGCCAAAAAAAAAACCCTTTGAAGCTTCACTAATAAAATTGCTATGATGCTCCAAAAGTAATATACATTGGTTGGGAGACAACACAATTGTCTCTTTATTATGTGAAGCAAAACCTTTAATTATTGCGCCATCGAATCTGAAAATAACCAAGATCAATCCCCCACAGTGAAGTGTAGAAATACTTGAGATAAATGGCCGAGACATTTTTTAACTTGGATGATTGGATCGTAAGTAGTCAGCCACTTTTTTTCCACCTCAGACTTTATTGAAATTTAGAACTAGTGAGGTATTTTTTTTCATCTTTTGAATTACGGACTCAGAATAAGACTTTTTCCTTAAATTTTTTTTTTAATCAATTCTGATTTTTTTTGGCTTCATCACTATGCTCACAAGTGATTAGATACAATTTTTCCAACAGGTGCGGAAATGTCTTCTACCGTTGTAGTTATGGTGCTTGCGTGAGAAGTGATGCTAAATGCGATGGCATTAAGGATTGCAAAGATGGCTCAGATGAAACACCAGGGTTATGTGGTAATCGTCAACCGCCAATTTCGCCCGTGTGAGTAAAAAATTATTATTTTTTAACCATCTCTTAGTTACCAAAATATCAAACAAAGGTAAAATTGATGCAGCGGTGAAATGGATAGATTTGAGCAGAACCAACATAAATGCATTCCATGCTGCCTAATTTCCACATCTGTTTTATTCTTCTTATAGAGAACCAAATGACATAACAACTTGAAACTTTTTGTGAATTTTCCATGGACTATGAAAAATATGTTCACAAAATTAAAGTCAAAATTTTGATTAATTTTCTGTTGGAAAAGAAAATACAAAAGGGAATTGAAGGACATCTGATGTAGCTTGGCCAATTTTGGTTAAATCCGTCCAAACGGATATGAATTGACTTGTCCTGTATTGAAACAACGGTGTTTATTTTAAGAAAAATCCAAGTAAATAGCCCTAATAATTTAACGAAAAACAAGCACAAAATGAATAGCCCAGGTATTTTGTACATATTTTAGCCTTGATTGGCCATTTATGTTTGTTTTTTGTTGTAAATTAAAAATATATAGCGATGCACACTATATTATCAATATACATAAGTATGTTGCGATGTCAAGTACCTAATTTTAATAGGTAGCGCTTTAACTTTATTGTGAGTTTTGCAGATATAGGTTCATGCTCAGCAATAATGAAGGTAATACGAAAAATCAAAATGAAAATATGACTTTTTTTTAAAAAAAAAAAAAAAAAAAAAAAATATGAAAATAATTGAACTTGGTTTTTTTCTTGGCAGGAGATCTTCTTTTAAATTTCCCTGTCCTTATTTGTTTAATCCTGTCTCATTAAAATTATATTTCCCCTTCTTTAAATTGTTTCAATTTTAAGAAAGAAAATTTTATAAATCAACTTAAACCCACCTCTTGTAAATTCTGCAGAATCCTCGTGAAGGTTCTCAGGAATGTCCAATATACTCAATTCAGTAACAACTATGATATATATTCTCTGCCTTTTAGGAAAGATGGGTGTAAGGTTCCACCTCCCTTGCCTGGTGGTCAGTTCATTTCAGGTGACTGTGCATTGTCAGACACAAGTCCAAGCTGTATTGCACAAACAGATGCTATGCTGCCTGTTGGGGCAGAGCTGAGTTTACGCTGCATCGAAGGATACTCTCTCAACGGTATTACAAATGTTATATCTTGCGGAGCTAGTCGTCGTTGGAACCCAGCTGTCTTACCATCTTGTAAAAGTAAGAAATATTTGCGATAATTACTTTTGACTAAACATTAATTGGAAACAAGTTAGGGTAAAAGTTGAAAAGCTCTGTTTTCATTTTTTGTCCTTATCTTTTTAAGAGCTTTGGGTGCTTCATAGCTCACTGAAGAAGACCCTTCTGTTTTCTTGATGTTTTTTTTTTAAGAAAACCAATCTAAAAATCTATTTTGAATTTTCTGTGAGCATTTTTGAATGATTGAAGTGAATTTACTGGAAATTTTTAGAAAACTTAGTCAATTCCCACACTCAAAAAATGAACATAAGTGGAGATATGCAACGTTGAAATCAGAGATGTACATTTTATTAACTTAGGCTGTTAATGTAGAGAACTGAGAGTACAAAATGGTAAAATATCCTTAAATCAGAAATTTAGGTGAGTTAATGTACAACTGAAATCACAAAAAGTAAGTAGAATAAAATTAGTTAAGCATATAAGACATGCGTAAACTCTTTGAATACTAATGAGGATTCTTGTTCAAACTGTAAAACTCATTGGTTTAGTTCCTGTCGCATCCATGCAACGTTCTAAGTTTTTCATCCATCCTTTTCTTACACACTTCTTCCATCTCTCTCTTAAATTCTCAGTCTTCAACTTTTCGAGCCTCACTCCGATTTTTACATCCTATCAGCAGATTCATCTAATTCATCTAATAATTAATCTAATCTTTGTAACGGCAGGCTGATGCAATGTGAACCGTTATTTGCTCATGCTCTTCCACGCCTCGTAAGGGCTGGAGAGATTTCTGTAACTTACTTCGATTCCTACCATCCTAGCGTAAGCCTCGTGCTAACTTCTTTTCGCTCAATCAAAGTCATAAGTCAAATCGTATTGTTAGTAGTTCTGAATAAAACGTCCGGTTTTCCATCCAACGAAATTCGACTCATCTGTTTATCCTATTCTGCTCTCCCACAATTTAATAATTTTTCGTGCGTGTTAAGTTGGACTCTTAAGCGTTTCAGTCCGTTTAACACCCAGCACCAACCCTTAACGCGACATGGTGCCAAAACCCAGTCTGTGACCCTTAACGCGACAGTTCCTTTTTATTGAACCTTAATAATAAGGAGCTAAACTGAGCACTTAAAAACAAATCTTCTCTCCAAAAGAAATTTTAAAAAACCTGCATGAGGAGGAGATTCATGATAAGTAAATCATCACTCAACCTTCTTGACTCCTTTTATAGACTTTCAAATCTTGTATTTAAGATGATAAAAGTTTATCTAAATTTTACCCTTTGTTTCCAGGAACATGCAAGCCTCTGGTTTCGCCAAACCTACTTATTGAGTGTACTCTAACTGAAGTCATCAATGGGCGCCGTTCAACGAAAAACGTACCATGTGATGAGCCGATGTTTGAGGGTACAAAAGCTGTCGTCAAGTGTCCCTCATATTTCAAACAAAGAGAAGACAGCGTTTTGATCTGCCTAAAATCAGGCCAATGGGATGGAGAGCTGATTGAATGCACACCACGTACTGACGATTTCTTAATTTTTCTTTTTAGACGGATCAATCTCTGATCCTTGACATTTGCATTTTTAGCTGTTTTCAACTTTAAATTGAATATCCATGAGATCTTTGATAATAATTGTACCAAGTATTTTTTATATCAGTCTGATATGTAATGAAGTCAGGCAAAAAGGCATGTAAGGTGGAAATTCAAATTATTCAGCACATCAAAAAAACTGATGTAGGGTCAAAGGTGTGGATTTCCAATTTTAGATGCTGAACGTCCTTTAATCTCATAAGAACACTAGGTTAAAATTTCAAACCATAACTTACATCATTTGTGATACAGATGATAGAAGGGTCAGTCTGTCAAATCTTGATTATTCTTTGCACCAAGCAATGCAGAACTAACCCTTTGAAGCTTTAGTCCAGTTATTTTATTTTATTCCTTTTTCACTTTAAGGGCCTTTTTGCTCGACTCCATCTCATACAAAGGTGACAATGAGGATAGCCAGTATACTGTTCTTAATTTGACATCAGTACACAATGAAGTCCAATTGTGCAGTCTATTTTATTGTTCCACTGCACATAGGATTCTAAAGCCTTCTGGCTTCTTCGTTGATAAAGCGAAATATAAATTGTAAGATTTTTGCAGCATATTGGCTATTTTTGTTTCATTTTTTGTTTTAATTAATATGTTACTATCTGCACTGTGGTCAGTTTCAAATTAATGCTTGTTCAGCTGACTATATACAAAGATGTCAGAAGTCACCCTATACTTCAAATTTAATGCTTCTTAATACATGCATATATTCATAGGTACATTGTGTTTGCATTATTTTTGAGGTGATTATTTTTTTGCACTTTTTAGTTGCTAAATTTATATTTAGTGCAATTTTAAACGCCACATTCGCCCAAATATTTTTGGCAAATCCTAGTTATACATACAGTTATCCTGCTGACTAATTTTTCATTTTGATATTTGAAATGAGATTGTGTTTTTTCTTACTTGATTCTATCAAACACAGTCATAATAAATATTTTAACTTATTTTCATAATTAGAATATACATGGGTAGCTTTCAATGGCTAGAAAGATTTCATAATATTTTCCATGTATTGTAAAAGATCTCGACCCAAATAAATTTTATTTTTCTGATATAATCCAAAATTTATATTGAATTTAACCAAATAAACTGGAAGAAAAAGTAATGTAAATCATTCAAAAAAACTGAAACTTAAATATTAGCACTATTTGACATTGAAATTGAAAGTTCAATAAGAAATATGAATTCCCATCATCATCAAACCAGATCATCCTTTTCAGATGTAATAAAATGAACTTTATTAGATGAAGCACCATCAAAACGCCGCTATTTGCTGGTCAATATTCATATAATATTGCAACTTCACCCATTTTCTTCTTAATATTATTCATCTTCTTTATCAAGATCAAATCCTGGAGAGACTGATCTTAGCCTAATGGATACTCATATTCTATCCTAATTTTAAAATATTCATTGTTTTTTATCTTCCTTATTCTTCCTCTTTTTCCTCTGTATCTTTTCCTCCTCTCATCGTTGTTCATTTTCTGTGTCTCAAAAGGCATGTTGAATTTCTTTGACAAGCCTGGTAAACAAATCATAACTCACTGCAGCAAGAATTATAAGACACTCATGAGGCGGACCAAATTTATACACTTCTATGTATAATTTTAAAGCGAGTATGTGGGCGATAAAAGTCCATAAGTAACCAAAACATCTGATTCTGAAGAGTGTTTTCACTTCTATTTTCTCACGCAAAAATGAACAACCTAGCTCAGTACTTATTAAGTTGGCCTATCTTGTCTCATGATCTAAAGGCGTAAGAGACTTACAAATGTAAGCAAATGAGGAATGTAGATATATCGCCGCATCCTATCTGAGATTAATTCTAAAATATTGATTCATGCTCACAGTTTTGTTTCAATTTTCAGTGTGTGGGTATAGAGACCAGAGTTTGACTCCAACAATCATCAACGGAAAGAATGCATCTCAAGTAGACTATCCATGGCATGTTGGAATTTATTGGATCGAGCCTCAGCCAGACGGAAGCCTAAAATACGAGTACAAATGTGGAGGATCTCTTATATCCCCGTCTTCTGTGTTAACTGGTAAATCATGTTTTCACTGACTACGTATATTAGTAAGGTTGATACAATTTGGAGCAACTTGGTATGGCATCCAAGATGTTGTTGCAAATCAAGATTGAGTCTGCAAATTGAAATTTCGTTTGTCTCATGTTTTCAATCATAAATCATAAATTCTAATCTCTCAGGTTTCCTTGAAGAAATTGTGAAAAAAAAATAATTGGAAAATCAAGTAATTGCAACAACAGCATGGCATCTAAGTGGTAAAAGCGATTACTGACAAGGAAATACTTTCATTTTCAGTATAAGGTGGATCAAAAAAAAATTTTTTTGGGAATGGTTTGGTGTAGCTTTTGGAAAGCATTTAGTGTCCTAAATTTCTATTATTTATGTGAACTGTTTCTTGCATTTCCATTTGCCTTTCACTCTCCTCTTTGGTTCTTCTTTTCAGCTCTTCTTTCTCTATTTCTCCTATTCGCTTATTGAAAAATTAGGAACGCATTTTGGCATGAGTGTTGTTTCCAACTCCTACATTATCTCAGACTTGTCTTGCTGTATTCTGTCTTACATTCTCTGTCTTTTCGTCTATAGCTGTACTTTTCTGTGAAAAGAATGTAGTATTTTGCTTTTTAAGACATTATTAAACTTCTAATATCTAATTATGCATGTTTTATTGTTTATTTTTCAAAATTTCTAAATCTGTAGTAGAAAATTTGTATTAATACCTCTTATCAAGAAATTTGAAGTCATTTTTTAAGGTACCAATAAGAAAATTTGCCAGTCATTAAACTCAGTATTCAATACACTTTTTCGTTACAGGGAGCCTGACTCCGGTGCTGTATCAAACCAAATTAAATTTTGTAGACAGCACTTCAAAATCATTTTAACCAAAAACAATTACGAGGTCTGTTAGATTAGAAACCGGATTTTGGTCATAACTAGCCTGAAATGCGTCCAAATTACGTTTTCTTGAGCTTTTCTGATAGCTGAAAATATATTTAAGAACGCTACGTTCACAAATTTGAAAAATCCTAATTAGCTTCGTTGGTATGTGGCTTGAAGTAAGGCAACCTCAAGGGTGTTTTGCGATTTTTATGTTTGACCGAACTTGTCTCTCTTTTCTCGGTCTTGCACAACATTTTTCAACCCACAAGGACGATTGGAGTTTCGTCTCCATACCGTAGCCGTACACTAAAGTATTGTCACCGAAAATTATCCTATCCAAAAATGTAGGATCATTGTTAGAACGTTCAAGCAGCTAAAGGTAATTTGACGTTTGATTGGATTTTCGTTTAACGGACAACAATCAAGGGGCAAGTGTACCTGAAACTCGATGCGTGTCTACATATTCTATCAAAATTGTATGTACAGAGCCTTCAGAAATATTACTCTGTTCAACAAGCTCGAAACGACCATTTTCGAGCACTTTTGCCCGCATTTCTTCCACGTGACAAATGTCAGTCGCCGTTGAGGGTCGATTCCCATGCTCCTCATTTTTGACGAACTCCTGACCAGTTTTGAATCGTTTAACCTATTCAAAACAGTGGGAACATCTCATACAATGATCATGGTACACTTTTCTTAGCATATACCAAAAGTTTCGGTACAAGGTATACCGAGTTTAAAACAAAATTTAATGTTGAATCTTTGCTCTGTCAGTGATCGCATCATGGAAATCGCAAAACTCACCTGACTTACTCGTGTTCAAGATGACACAGAATAAACACTGATCAAAATAAACAAAATCTGTGAACGTAGCGTTCTTAGGTATATTTCCAGCTATCAGGAAAGCTCAAGAAAACCTAATTCGGACGCATTATGGGCTAGCTATGACCAAAATCCGGTTTCTAATCTAACAGACCTCGTACGTACATTATTTTTTAAAGTTAATTTGAAAAAAATGAGTGATATATAAATGTAAAATAGTTTTTTTTTTGTTGAAGTTGATGGGTTGATAGTTGGACGGTCAAGAAAAAAAAGAAGGAAAAAAAAGAAAAGGGTAACAAAGGCTATGACGCAGTAAAGACCTAGCAGAGTGGTATATTCCCTTGTCAATTAGGAAAATAAAAATAACAAAATGGAATCATTGTAAACTTGGATCCCCTTTTTGTGAAAACAGATGATAGGATAGTAGAAGTAACCTCTAAAATTCCTCTTAAATATTTATGAAATCACAAAGTAGTTCATTTGTATTCATGCATACTCGTTTTTACTAAGGCTAGTAACTACTCTGTGCTTCACACAGAACGTATTTTAATTTATTTAAGTTAATTCAGATTATTTATGCCAACTTATCCCTATTCAATCAGAATTATTGGTGTTTTTTTACCCTCATTTTTTTCAAATTCAATTAAAGTGAAAACTATTGACAGATTAACAAAATAATTTGTGTCTACTTTGATCAAATTTTGATTTTCAAGCTATGAAATTTTCCCTTGATTTTATCCATTTTCAATTTTTGCTCTCTTATTATTGTTTACGTCAAGAACATAGTTTCTTTAGCTCAGCACGTCAACCGTGCAATTTAAAGTTGCATTTGCAAATTCATGATGCATTTTAGTAAGCACATTATAATGCATCTTGTACTCAGAATTGCTAGATCCGACTATCCTGCAAAATATAAAAACAAGTCATGAATTGTTGTGTCATTTGATCTGAAAGTGGATCCTCTGCAGCCATGAATTTCAAATCATGAGCCACAAGTTTATGGAGTTTTACACAGCCAACTTTCTAAAATTTATGTTTTTAAAAAATCATATGAAAAGGATTCCGACCATTTACTGATAGATTTTATCTGAAAATTCCTTTTGAAAATATTTTTTGATAAAAGGAAACACACCTTTGCCAAAATAGTCATGAGTAAGTTGATTAGAAAAGAAAAAAAACTTTTTAAAACAGATATTTTAACTATATTTACCAATCAATTTGTCTCCATCACAAGGTGACTCTTCAGGTGTTTTGGGTTAAGAAAATCATATAAGACATTAATTTTTGATAAATATGTTTTCTTGTCAAGATTGCAGCCCAACATTTTTCAAAATTCTAAGATGAAGGCTGCAAAAGCATACAACCAAATGTTCATTTGTCCCTTTTTAAACTACATAAAAAAAAAACCTTGAATCAGAGTTTTTAGAATGTAGCAATTGTATTTTTTGATCGGTTAACTCAAGATTACGTAAATTAAAGGATAGTTCACATAATACAGTGAAGATTTCGAAATATTAGTCTGGCAGATGTTGTTTTGTTTCAAGTGTCGATTATATTCTAGTGGTCTGAAGTTTTTATTTTTGCAATTTAAGGTTTCCTCTCTACCCATCAGTTTGATCTTTTTTGACTAATCTTTGACTTCACATAATTGAGGAGAGGAAGAGTCAACATTTAAACGAATTCAATAATATCTCGAAAAAAAGATTTTACGTTTACTTTGAGTTCACAAGATTCAGTTACGAACAATTTGAAGGGAAACCTTTTAGCACAATTTGATGTCTAATACTAATTTTTTCATGGGTGCGAGCTAGATTTAAAAAATGTCAACTGTTCCCGAGTTTTTAAGTTTTTAAAAGTACTCGACACATCTGAATGGACAAATATGCTGTCTTGTAGAGACTTGCCTAACCCCTGCTGTACTCGAAACTTAAGCGTCACTGCAAGGCTTTGAACTTCTTAAGGCTCAGCATTTATGTCTCTGCCTTAAATATGAGGTAGGGTCAAAGTAGTGGAGCTGAACATTCTCATTGTTCATTAATTCTCATAGTATGCCAGCGCTCAGACTAAAGAGTACAGAGTCTTCCCTAATTTTTTACTTTGACTTCTTTCTGTACTGTAATACTTTCTGTAAGGGACACTTCTTTCACAGAACTTTTGTCATGTTTTTAAAGAAACTGAAATTAAATTATGTAATTCCATATCAGAAATTCCTGTTTCTTCAATTCTTTTGGCAAATCTCTCAAAAAACAGTCAATATCCATTCTCCAATTTAGGAGGCTTCTTGAGGACAGGCTCAAGAAACGTGGGTAAGTTTGCTTGTACAATCAACCTCTGTGGTCTCAGGTGCACTGTTGCTTGTCCAAGTAGCGTCCGCTGAGAGAAACGAGCACAACCGCGCCATTATGGGGCTTTATTCCAGAGACCTCAATGTTTGCAACCACCTCAATATGTTAATCTATTAAGACCTGCCCCTGGATTTTTGAAATGTTATTGAATAACAGTGATCAATATATTGCCCTCGTAAGATGGGGATTTATCAATCAAGATTATTCGATAATAATTCAAGAATCACCCATTACAGTTTTTGCACCAGTTGGGTATCAACTGGTGCCCAGTGCCAATGGATGGCCCTTTTCAATAATATATCACTTGTTGAGAAAGCGACAAGGATCTCTCTCGACGGTTCATCGATCTCTGATATCAGTTATCAAAGTTATTTAGAGCAATATTTTTTTTATTACAGCTGCCCACTGTGGATTTAATGACCAACTTAGTGAGTGGACCCCTGCCGCGGATATGGTAATAGCTCTAGGAAAACAAAAATTAACCTGGGAAAAGAACGACGAAGACAGGACTCAGAGATTTTCCGTAAGTAGATATTTGAGCTTTTGCTTTGATTTAATTTGGTTTCTCTTTTTCATTTGTTTAAGATGGTGAACAATGAATAAAGTTTTTGAGGAGGTTCAAAGATTTATTAAGATTGGCAGCACTTAAAAAAAAGATTGCAGCATTAAATTTGTCCTCAGTCTATGATGTTCAAGGGTGATTGAATAAGCAAGTCTAGCAATTGCCAAGATACGCCACTAAAAGCTGTACCTGCACCCTTGTATGCTTATAAAAACAGTCCCATAGTCCTAAATTGAAGAAAATTCATCATTTGTTAGAATTTAATGAGTGTCTTGGAAAGGAACCAGTTGAGTTCAGAGGATGATGCTTGGAATACCACACTAAGTTGAAGATACAGAGTCTTTTGTTTCGTGTTTTTTCACTTCATGGCAATTTTAATCTCTGTTTCAGGTTTTAGAATTTCTGAAACCAAGCGAGTACGCCGGACGAGACGGTTTGTATAGTTGGGATGTTGCAATCATCGTTTTAAGCAATCCAGTGAAATTGACATTGTACGTTTTTCCCGTTTGCCTCAATTTTTTGCCCAACCGTTTTGGTAACAGCGCAGTAGGAAAGGTAAGTAAGTTTTAATTCCCTGTAAAATTCAATTACTGTCACATACATTTCAGAAATGTGGCTTTTATATTTATGTATGCAGCAAGAGTTAGGTGTCAAAAAACCACACAAGCCTCTCCACTGTATGAGTGGATTTCAGCCAGTGGGATGAGGCGAGTTTTCAATGTTTCAATATTATTTTATTCCAGCGTATGATCTTTTATTTTCTTGCACAAGACTTCATCTAATATGAAATACATCATGAAGGATGCGGTCAGATAGATAGTCTTAAAAATTTTTGAACTGAAAAGTCTCTTTGCCTACTGAGAGGCATTATTCACATCTTTTCGCAAATTGGAATAACTCTGAGGCAACATATAGCTTTTTTGCCTGTGAATGACTCTTAATTTCAAATGTTGTATGCCCAGTAATAGGAACCCAAAATAATGGTAAAAAAGCAACAGTAGCCAAATTGCACCAAAGCAAAGAATGAATTAAGTTTTTTTCTGTCAGTTCAATGACATAGATCGTTTTAATTTGCAGCGGCTTAATATTTAGAGCCAGTGTGGAGACCAATGATTAAAGTTGTAAGTATAGACACTAGTCCACTTTGTCGCTGATATTATAGCTTTCTCAACAGATTATATTTTTTAGTGTCACACACTTACACCATCACTCCAACAACTTGATGGTATTTATCGGGTAAAATGAACATCTTCAGAATTTTTGGGTTGAGTTTTTCCCACTAATATTATTGCTTTTATTTTTAGGTACCAGGATGGGGTAGCACAGGAACAGCGGATACAAGTGAAAATTTACTTTATGCAGAAATCCCTCACATGAATACTAATCAGTGCAGATCTATGTTGAGTAATGAGGAAAAACGTTTCCTAACGTTCGATAAATTTTGCGGTGGCTATTCTAGACCAGGTACCTCCTACGTAACTGTTTATTTTAATTTTATTTTGCTTCAATCTAATTTTTAGTAACCAAGAAACAGTTCACGTTAGACACAGATAAAAGTTTATTTTTGACATATTCCTTTGGTTTCAATTTATTCATATGTATTTTAATTAATCCTATCAACCAACAGACTCCTTTTTTTTATGCGTTTTATTTATTTACTTATTTTATCGATTTATTTATTTAGGTACATCCATATGATGAATGCAGGCTATGAAAGAACTTTTCACTCGGTGAATATTTTAAAATCACGGTGTAGTGAGAGCTTTTAATTTTTTAAGTATGTTTTTTCCAAACTTAAAAAGTCCCTCTTCGTTGTCATTGAAAAGAATATTCCTTGCATAAAAATGATCCTATTGTTCCATTCTTCTGAAATTTACTTTAAAATCATATGTGTACAGTGGTGGAGCACAATGTTTTAGAATGGAGGTTTGAAATGATTGGGCTACTAAAAATAACTTGAAGTGCTTCAGAGGGATGCTGCCAACTGAAAATTTTCTCAGGCCAGAAAACTTACAGAATAACAATTGTTTCAGGTCCTCAAACTCGCAAAGGTGACAGTGGAGGTGGTCTTATCTACAAAGATGGTAGAACAAATTTTGTCGTTGGAATTGTGAGCACAACAGTCAGCAAGCCTAATTTCTGGGTTTCTTTTTACACAAATGTCAGTTACCATAGTGACTGGATTCAAGCCAACATGAAGTAGTGAGTCAATGACATTGACATTGCTTAATGGGCGTATTTTCATGTTAGGAACAATCTATTTAAATCGTTTCACCTATGTAACTCTTGACTCATTTGAAAACCATTGGCAGAAAGTCTGGAATGATAATTCTGGCTTATTTTTGTTTTCCTGCCACAGTCTTTGTTAAGTATGTACTCATGCACTTATTGTAACAGAGCATGAAGCCACATGGTCCAAAAAGTTGTATGACCACATCTGGTATGAAATGTAAAGGAGTTACTTCTTTGTGTTCTAATGAATTACTGTATTAGCCAAATATTATTTTCAAGAGGCACAGGTAACTGGTAGATCTCGATTGAAGGCGTTTTGACTGTTACCCCTGTGATTATGTGACTTTCTGCGATTTTTGAGACCAATAGTCGTACATATTTGTCTATTTATTTATTTTTTGGTCTTCATAAATTTTGACATCCTTAAAGGTAAAGTCATGAAAGACTCAAGGTAGAGACCGCTGTGCTGCAGGCTGCAGTATACTGCAGTTGTGAGGTCTAGGAAATTAAAGCTTCATGATTTTGACTTTAGACCTAACTCTGGATAGAACGCCTCTAGTACCTGTTGAAGCACTTCTTTCAGACAAGGATCACTGTCAGTAATTTGTTGACAGTTACTGTTTTTGACAAATAAAGAAAAAAGCTTTTTACGATCAAATTGTCTTCTCTAGTCAATACTTAAGAATATTTTTATGCAGTGAGGTTAAAGTAAATAATTGTTTAGATCTTACCATCTATTAAGCCTTTTCATGAGGCAGCTACTTTAGGCAATTTAGTTTTAAATTTTGTTACACAAGAAAGAAAATCATGTTTCTCACGAGATGATGGGCCTAGCACCTTGACTGTCCTGTGTTCATTAAAAACTAAGTTAAACCCTGTTAGAAGAGTAGAAGGTGAGTCTAAGTCAGTACTTTTATGTGTAGAGTTGGTACTGATTCCAGGGTAACACTTTTTTCATCATGTGTTCGCAATTATTCTTAACAAGCCCGCCCTTTCATCTAAATTTAATCACCACATGATTAAGTAAGATTCTGACCTAGAGCAACATTAGAGAGGGACCCAATACATTGGTCAACATTAAAGAATGGGACAGACGCCAGAGTGTTCTCTTGGCTCTGTCATTTTTCACTTTCTCATAATTTAAGGTCACAAAAAGAAAAATATTGAACTACTTTATGCAGGTAAGATGCAGCCTCAGACCCACTAACATATCGATCTGAGACTCAACAATATGTAGAAACTATCCAGTGTTCATGAAACTGACTTGGTCACAGAGACTATTTCTGGAACACTCATTTACTCGCAATTGACGATCAATAGATTTGTTAAATCCATCAAAATACTTAAACCCCATTTAAATTTATTCTTTTTTTTTTTTCTTTTTTTTTAGACCTGAAGGAAGTTAAATAAAGGGGATAGGAGGAGATTCAATTAGTGAATTTTTAATTTATAAAAACCAACAAGTGTTATTTATTGATCCAGATTGATTAACAAAATTACAGTTTTTTTGAAGTTTGTAACTTCAGATTCTTCTTTAGCTCATGATAACAACAATCAGGGCTCATCAAAGGTACAAAAAATAAAGTTAATGGTACAGGTACCAAAATTGAAAAATTGAAATTCATAACATCCCTCATCCAAGGAGACCTTAAATGCTTCCTCCTTGCGGCCTTTTTTGAAAAAAATTATTCTTTCTGATTTTATATGTGTTCATAAGGAGAAACCTGTCATTGTTTGGCCCAGTGATTGCTGTTGAATCAAGGAGATGGTCGCTTAACCTTGGGACATGGTAGCGGCCATCACATGAAAAGGCTTAAAACGTTTTGAAATTCAACTCCTCAATTACAATTGGTTTTTGAAACAGGAAAAAAGAGGTAAAATTCAGGCAAATTAGTGCATTGAAAGGTACTTAAAGAATAACGTGCATGTTCTTGGAACTACTAAAAATAAAATTAAGAAATAAAAAGTAATTATACAGACTAAAAGCTTATTTTGAACATTAAAAATATACCATAAAAGCAGAATTGGTTTTTGACAACGCTCCACTCATCACTGGTACTCATTACTTTACTTCCTTTCTCTTAATTGAAAAAATAATAATTTTAACTTCGCTCATTTTTTTTATTTGTGCCTAGAACATCTTTTTATTGACTTTCTTGTTGATTTCATGTTTGACCAAGTGATTTTCATTTACTGTGATCCTGTTTGCAGATTATACGATTTTTTACGTCTTAACTAATTAAAAGTGTAATAAATTTCTACTTTCAAGTTATTTCACAATCCCTTCATTACCATTTTTTAAACAATATTTTTGTATAATTAATTATTCTGTAAAATTTTCTGAACTGCCGCCTACATGAACCCAAATCTCAATTTCACATATTTTAAGGGGGAAATTCTTTACATCTCATTCGATACCATTAAACCAAATATCCCCAAAAAACCATTATCTGAAAACCTCATAACTGGAATGGTCAAAAGCATGACTTGGTAAAAACGAAAAAAAAAACAAAAAAAAAAACATGGTCACCCATGCAAAAACAAAACCAAGGAACTTGCTATCCATTCAAACATTACTGAAAGGGAAAAAGAACTGCGGGGGAAAATATAAAAATTCTGAGATTTCATGAGGGGAATTAATAGGTTGATTGAAGGTCCAATCATACATTTTTTGGGACAAAATAAAAAAATGGAATGATTGTATTTTATCTTGTCTAAAAAAGTTATTATTTCCGCGTGGTGCTTATAAAATATATATCTGTAGCTCAGATCATAACATAGAAATAGGAAACTCTTTTCTGCTGTTTATCATAAATCAATTTTTTTAACGCCCTGAATCACTTACATCTACCTTTATCCTAGAAAATATTAAAGAGAAAACTGAGCCTTCCTGTTCAAAAGTTCAGTAGAACTATCAAGAATTTGAGATGCTACAAAGAAAGCGTCTTAGAGAACTACTGACTAGTTAAAAAATAAACTTATTTAGAACTAACTCAAAAGTCATCTAAAAAGATTGATTCAGTGATTCTACCTGAGAACTTTCAAAATTATTCGGCAATTCTTAAGTAGTTGCCTCATGAAAAAAGAATTTAATTTTGCAGGTCGAAAAGAAAATAAGTCTTGAAGAGAATTAAAATTATTGTCAAAGACAATGCTGAGACTTAGAATTACAAAACATCAATGACTAGTTTCAAACAACGAAAGAGCTGTAGGTAAAAAAGTGTAGAAATTGGAAAGAAATGCTCTTAACTTTAGTTACTACAGATTGAAAGAAACAGATTTCTAGGAGGAGCGAGATTACTCGCAAAGAGGGTCATTTCAAATGTGACGGTTGCACGGGTGCGCAATGCAATGGCCACACATATCCCCTCAAGGATACAAATGCATGCTGTGAACCGTCAAACAAACAATACTAACAATGAGTAACTGTCTTGTAGATTCTTTAGGTCTTTTTGGATTTAGGAAAAACAACAGCTTGAGTGAGAAAAAGAAAAGTTATACAGAATCAGTCAAACCACAAAACTGAGAAAATAGATTGTAAATTTAGAACTTACATATTATATAGATTAATATTCATTATTGAGAGACAGGTGGGTGTAGAAAATATCACGAGGGAGTAAGAAACAGATAATTCACCAGAGCTAATATTGCTAGAACTAAATTGCTTCAAAAATGAGCTTCAGGGTGCATTCATAACAGAATCATGAGTGTAAAATTAAGATCAGAAATACACTTGACCACCAGCTACACAATATTATAGCGAGTCCTAAAATATAGGCTCAATAATAAAAGGCCTTCTACCAACGGAAGGACGTTGAAGATGGACTTAATTTTAACACTCGAAAAACAGCAAACAGCTAAATGTAAGATTAATGATGTTGAGCAGTTTTTTTTCTGTTTTACCTTTTTTTCCCTACGTGAATAAGGACCTTATGAATTTATTGATCACAAATGAAACCTGGCCATTTGATCTATGTTCCAAACTTCAGAATGTTGACATTGTCTCAATGAAAGGGAAATAAGTTTTGATAGTGTCAGGACGAGAATGAAATGAATGAGAGGAACAGAAACCATTCACACAATTTTTTTCAATAAGAAGAGGCTGTAAAAGGATTGCTTATAAATTAGAGGTATGACGGGGGACCATTTTTCAAACTTGGAAGGCAGACAAACAAAAACTCAATAAAAATAAAGAGGGAACTTAATGAAGCGATGTGGGATAACAGAACAAAATAGATCTGAGCGCCGGGCTCGAGACTTAGGCCACATGCCACAAATAAAAGGAAGAAGATGAAAAATGAACAAGGACACAGAACTTTCGTTTGGCGTGACCAAAATCAACTAAAAGAAGACACTGCCGACCCGAACCGATGAAAGATGGGGGGTAATCCTTGCGGATTACCCCCAAAAAGGGAAAAATCGAGAGGAAAAACTTACAAGCACATCCAGGTAACAGCGAGGTCGAGACGAACTGAGAGCACTCTCGACCAACCAGAAAGCAGCACCTATGGCGTCACTTTCTGGGTTCGAGAGTGCTCCCATGGGATTGGCTGCCGGCCTGGAGGGCGCCGAATTGATACAATTTTTTAAAATTTAAAGGGGACATACTACATTAAAAAGGCGAAGTCAACAAAACTTTTAAAAAATACGAAAAAAAATTAAAAAAAAGTACACTGATTAGATCATTAGCTTCTAACTATTTTCATTCTAGGGAAAAACTTAACTAGGTTCTTAGAGACCTTTGTTGAAGTACACTTTGCTTGGAAGTTCGCCTTTGGTATTCTTCTTGATCTCTTCGTAGGCAGCTGAGTCCAATGTTTTTAGAGTATTAATACTGATGGAACTGTAAAGTTTAAAAGTTTAAATTAAAAAATCGTTTGAAACAGCTTACAGACTAAAGTCTGCGACATGAAAAGTGAACTGCATTTTACAAAAAGGAACCGAAAGCATCCCAACGTTGCTAGGATTATGTAACTCACATTCTTTGCAATAAAATGACTGAAATCATGCAAAATATTAAATTTACAGAGGTAATTTTTGTCTTGAATTCATAATTTATTGAGAGTAGCGATACAACTTGTTTAGATGATCGGTTTATATTGCAAAGTAAAAAAAATTGCACACTCTTAGCAACACTGGAATAGTCTTGGTTCCTTTTTGCGAAATGCAATCCAAGTGGTGGCTGATGGGCAAAGTTAGATAAGTGGTTCAATCTATTGTGCAAAGGTTGACTGGCTGTGGCGAGTCCTTTAAATGTGCCAATATGCCTGCAATTCAACCCTTAAACAATACCCCAAGCCATTCACTAACTCCATCCCTCAACCGTCACGTTGCGTCTCGTAAACTATAGACAACACTTTGAAATTGCTACTCCACGCACATCTTTACTGCAGAGAAACCTGAGAGACGTACCAGCGAGTCATTACTCGGCACTAAACATGATCGGGTATTAATCTACAGAAGTTGATTCACTAGGGTATACTAGTATACGGTTTATCACTCCCGTAAATGGAGACCTTTTAATTCTCCTAAAAATGAGTAGGGAACATTTGACTGGCGTTTAGTAAAAGGATATTGTATATGAGCCATTGAGGGGAAAAAATCAATTGATTATAATATACATTAAAATAACCACCAGCAATTCGTCTCTTTTGTAGCGATTTTGGGGAAAAAAATCTATGAAATGTTGGAAACTTTTCCATTTTGACGAGAGACCATATAGAGGAAATTACAAGGATGACAAAGGGACTTAGAGGCTGTTACCTTATTGAAATTAAGAATGATCTCATTTACACCTTATTTTTGTATCTGACGTTTTTCATGGCCTTTTACAGGTCAATTGTTAAATATTGTGTTTTTAGATTGGACAAGCCAAAATTAAGATGAATTAGAGTTATAAATGACAGATTGACTTTGTCAGCCCTACTCACTTTGTAAATTAAACTATCAATGTGTGCCAATTTTTAAAAAAAAAAGTGGCGGATGAGTAAATCTTTCACCAGTTTTACGTGCATTTTCTGGTGTAACTGTTACGACACCAGATTGTTAATTGAGAAGAGCGCTCCTTTCTTTGCTAGTCGGAGAGGTAATGACAGACAGGCAAAAAGAATTATAAAAGCCAAAATTCTTCCGAGTAATGGCGGCATGCACAGCATCCTTGCCATGTTATGGCATCCATGACTTGTCATAAAATTTGACACAGCCATGGCAGCAGTGTTTTCAGGGGCGAAAATTGGATTACAAACACTAATTGGTTATATCTTTACAATTAAGACATAAGATGTTGACTTTTAAAGCTGTTTCTGCAGCCTTGACATCGTCATCAAAAATTAGCTGAAGCCGAATCTTTTTATGACCAAGCAATTTTTATTGAAAGTAGTGATTAAGCGAAATGTTAAAGAGTAACTTAATAATTACGTACCAATTTTGAGGGAAGAGAGCACATGCTAAAGGTACCATGAAAATTAAACTGAAACACAGCAAAAAATAAAATTTCAAAAATTAAACATAAAAATTAAAGGAAACAATCTGGATGAGGAGGGGAAGGAGGATTTTTTTCACATTACCTCCTCAAAAATTTGCTTGAGTTGAAATACATGACTATTCCAAGGTTGCGTGATATGATTTATTGTGTAATTCATATATACTGGCAAACAGGTAATCTAGGGTCGTGAGTCAATTTTCAATAGTGATTTATTTTCTCTTTTGATCATCAATGGAAAAAGTGGCGTGAACGCCTTGAAATCAGGCATTTTGACACAAAATCCGATATTGAACACTGTGGTAAACTCAAGGTTGCCACAGAATTTAGAGAATTTCCCTAATTTCCCCAACACATTACGGTAAAATTCCCTTATAATTGAAGTTATGCTAGACGGTTAAAAATAAAAAATTTGATATAGTTTTCGGGAAAATTTTGTGAAGCAAAACGTCAAACCCATTCTAGAAAGCATACAAGGTGACTTAACATTTCTCCCGGACACTTTTATGGTTTAATCTGACTTTTCAAAATTCTTTAACATTTTCCGGTTTTCTTGGTACTCTCTAACTGTGGCAACCCTGTAAATTGAAAATCATGTGAGGCAAAAATGCCAGATTGCAAGGTTCAATTTTTGCACCCCTGGACTGTTCAACATTAGTGACCATTTAATATTCTAACTTATTTACCCCTTATAGTTGGCACGGAGAGTTAAGCTATTTTCAAAACACTCAGTTAACCCTTCATCAGTACCAAAAATACTAAAGCACGGTACTGAAATGGGGTAGTTCCTATTGTTTAAAAATCATACTGTGAATGATGTCTGATGAACGCATTTTATCTGTAAAACAAATTTTTGGATATCAATTATAAATTAGTAGGGATTTTCTTTTGGTAGCTCAGAGCAGAGCCTAGATTGTACGTTAATTTTCATCCGTCTAAGGTATCTGGGGAGCTATATTCTGGATATTAAAAAATAAACCTTTAAAGGGCTCCAGTTAAAAAATAGGGGGCAAAATGTCCATAGTATAAAGCTGATGGATCCTAACCACTTCTTTACTCAAAAGAGATACCATGGAAAAAGTATGCAGCTGTGGAGACAGTGACCGTAATTTTATTCCCAATTTTTATCCTGGCTTAAAATACAGATGGAAATTCTAATTTTTGTATATCTGCATATCTATGAAAGAATGCTCTTTCAGGGTGCTTGTTATTAATGACATGATTTCTCTACAATGATAGTTGAAATCCTTACCTTCTGGGCTATGAATTAGAGAGGTGAACTATCTTAATGGTAAAAGTAGGCTTAACGATTCAAGTTTATGAGAGGCTTAGAGGGGGGAGGCAGGATTGATAAAATTTAAGGGCAAAACTTACCAAACTCCACATCCTAGAGTCTGAAAAACAGGACTGAACCATTTTTGAGCTTTTAACCATGGATTTCTTTCAAGTCGTTCGGTAAAAATCGGAAGAATCACTAAAACAAGAGCAAGGAATAATCGGTTTTGACAAAGTTTGAAAGGAAGAACTCAGAATTAAAAGTTAAAGAACGAAAAGTCAGCCTCAATTCTGTTCATTTATTTTTTTTTATCGTATATTATTTTGGTGCTATCTGCACAAATAGATTGATAACTGTACCACTGATCAGAGCCTGATCATTAAATTTATGATATGATATGATACTGGCTGTGAGCATGAAAGTAACAGAGTAACCAAGAGGTAGGCTCCACTTTTTATGCCATCTTGCAAATTTTTTCAGTTTTGAGTAAAAACGTTCCAATTCGGTCTGTTCTTTTTTGTACTGAACATATTTTCACACTAAATCTCACAGAATGGAGGCATTCAGTTTCAATTAATAAAAACTTGAGACAAATTTCTAATTGGAGATGGTGCTTCATGGCTCCAAAATAATCACTGTCTATCCGATAAAACAAAAAATCAATTGTACAAAAACTCAGATAGGGGTTCTAGCATGAAACATGTTTTCCATTAGTACGAATAATTTTGATAAAATGCTATTGTCAACACTTTCTCATATTTTTCCTTCATATTTTTTATTTCCATTTTAACTCATTAGGAATGGCTGGATTTTGTTCATTTCTGTCTTTTTCAGTCCTATCTCCCAGCCATCACCTACAAGTACCTATAAAATTAATTACTAGACTTGCAGCTGATACCTACATAGATTATAGACAACCAATCACGCGTAGGCTTGTTGTCTCACCACCGGTGACGTCAGCAAGACTATATAAGAGTGGGTTGCCCTAAAATCTAGGTCTTTTTCCCATCTTGTAGACCCTAGACCTGTACTCCTCTACGGTCTTAGTGATTCCCAGTACTCTGATACGTCGTGCCAATCTCTTTAATTTTACGGTGCATTTTTGTGTAATTTCTGATTCTCTACTTTTTTGTGAAATTGTGATCTCTTTGAAAAGTTTTTCAATACAAGTCATTTCAAGAACTCTCGTGTTTTTTCCTCAACACTTATCCATCATCAGTTTGTTGGTTAAACTATAAAATCAACTGGTGCCGAAAGAACTTTAGTAAAAACTCTTTTATTCCGATATAGTGCTTTCATCCATTTTAATAAGCACTCGACTTCTCCGACATAGTGCCTAGTCCCGCCTTTGTTACAGCTATAATTAAGAAATCCAACTGATCAGAGTCATCATGAAGCAGTGGAAGTTCATAATTGCTTATTGAAATCAGGATTCACACAATTTTATCTTTTTTGTAAAAGGGAATGCAGAAATCAAGTTTTAAAAGCAACTAGATTTTTACACTTACACATTCCAGGGGAGCACATGATGATCCTAGACAAGACAACAAGGCTGATTCCTTTCACAGCAGCTATTCGAGACGATCCAACAACATTGGAATTTTTATCGCTCACATCAACGCCAGTTATTATTTCATTTTGTCGCATGAGCGGAATATTAACTGCATTAGCAGCTGCCACAGCAAAGAATGGAACAAATCGCTACAAACAAAAATAAAAGTTTAGGGAGCTTATGAAAGGGAATGATTTCTTAAATTTTATAACAGTACATGGTTATCAAAACTGAACAATATTTTCTGACCATGAATTTATCAGTGTGAGAATAAATTTGAGACATCTTTACTTTTTTGAACTAAATTCTTATGATAATACATTTTACATAAGAAAAAACAATACTAAGACTTGAGCTGGAACTTTTCCTCCGATTTTTAATGATTTTAAAGGCTGAAATTTTGAGAATTGAATTGAATGACTTTCACACATAGTATTCAAAGAATGCAAGAGATGAAAATAAAAAAAAAAAAAATCTTTACTCGTTTGTAAATGAAGCAAGACCAGCCATCAATGAGAAATTGTGGTCATGACTCTACTTATTTTTGCTTCCAAAGAAGATAAAATAGTCTTCTAAGATATATTCCTTGTGAGATGAACCTGAGAGAATAAATCTTTATTTTTGACTATTTTCTTAGTAACTTCTCACACTTTTGAGGGTGAATCTAACCTGCTCTTGGACTTGTTCAACGTGAATGAAAACTTTCATTTAGGAAAATAGTAATCTATCTACACTGTTCGACTGGGTTGTGAAAAAATCGGTGATCACTCGTAGTGTGCGCGACTGCCAGTGCTACCTATCAGTGGAGATTGTAACAATACAGTCTAACTCGGTGAGGGCATGGCCATGCTCCGAACATTCCTGCTCTGCAGTGCCACAGTGTTTGATAAGACCTACCATTGGCTATCAGAGCCTTGTGGGAATGTAGAATGTGTCAATAGTACGAAGTTAAGGAGCATGGCCCAACTTTGGGGTGCACCGCGGCGGTAGCCAGTTGCCTTGGCCTCTTGAGGGCGCCGCACCAGTCAGCCTGGCCCTTACTTACTAACTTAGGAAAATATCTGTCGGTTAATTTGTTCCCCGCAGAAATAATACCTTGTATCCGACACTTTTGATCTGCCCACTTTCAGAAAACTGAGAGACAGAGTGGTTAGCATATATTGAGCGGAGAATGCATTATAGTACCTGGAGGATAGGATTTGATGATTTTTTTGCTAAAAACTTCTTCAAATTGATTGCAGTAAGACAAGCAGAGAGAGTGGCAGAGGAGTACGCTGTAGCTAACTGAATGGTGCTCAGAGGTGATTTAGCATTCCGGTTTGTGTAGTTGACATAAGCATTGAATGATTGATTTACCCATTGCCAGAACACTACTTGTGGGGTTGACCTAGATGAAATTTAAAATATTCTAAATTATTAAAATATTCTGGCAAGGTAATTGAAAAGTCATGATAAGGAGGAAGAAGATTATAAAACAAAATTGTGCGAACATTTTGGTGCCTTGAATCAAGAGGATGGGCAACATGCCAAGACGACTAAGAATTGCGATAATATGACAATTTATACACTCTTTTTTCCATAGATAAGCTAACTTCCATAAAATAACAGACCCTTTTTTACAGCAAATAGTAAAGCTTGGCACAATTTATCACAGTGTAGAAATATCTTGCTCGAATCAACTTATTCAAATTTATATGCAGCAAGCGATGGGCAACAGGTTGTGAGTAACATTTTCTGGTTGTAATGAGGCATCAGTGATTGCACAATGAGGCACACCTGTAGGTCAAGTACACCTGTTAATGTTCATGTGTCACTTTTGTGTGTATGTCAGGTATGGGTGACTGATGTAGAGCATGCCATGAGCAACAGATATTATATCAGCCAGAGAAAAAAGGCAACAAATTATGGCTGGCAAGCAACAATACAGCTTGATTAAAAAGCTAAGAATGATTGCTGATGATGAGACCAAGTTCTCAGAACCGGTCCAATTTAAATATTTGTGCAAGTGAGTTACCGTTTTTAACTTTTAGCTTTTTAATCACTTTAATAATCTTGTGTAGTCCATTTCGCGGTGTATCTACAATTCAGCTTGCTTGAGAAATGATTGTGGTGTTTCCCAACAGCCACTGTGAAAATCCCAGTGTCAACACCTTCTCATGTTTTTCCTTCATATTTTCGATTTCCATTTTAACTCATTAGGGATGGCTGGATTTTGTTCATTTCTGTCTTTTTCAGTCCTATCTCCCAGCCATCACCTACAAGTACCTATAAAATTAATTACTAGACTTGCAGCTGATACCTACATAGATTATAGCCAACCAATCACGCGTAGGCTTGTTGTCTCACCACCGGTGTTGTCAGCAAGACTATATAAGCGTGGGTTGCCCTAAAATCTAGGTCTTTTTCCCATCTTGTAGACCCTAGACCTGTACTCCTCTACGGTCTTAGTGATTCCCAGTACTCTGATACGTCGTGCCAATCTCTTTAATTTTACGGTGCATTTTTGTGTAATTTCTGACTCTCTATCTTTTCCTGAAATTGTGATCTCTTTGAAAAGTTTTTCAATACAAGTCATTTCAAGAACTCTCGTGTTTTTCCTCAACACTTATCCATCATCAGTTTGTTGGTTGAACTATAAAATCAACTGGTGCCGAAAGAACTTTAATAAAAACTCTTTTATTCCGATATAGTGCTTTCATCCATTTTAGTAAGCACACGGCTTCTCTCCGACATAATACCGAAACCCGCATCTTCACTCCGACACCCAGTTAAGAATATGGAGTAAGAACAAAGATCAATAAAGGATGAAAAATCAAGAAATTAATTACTGGGGGTCTCAAAAGCTAATGTACTTCCTTTACAGATGGTGACTAGCTGAGTAATCACAGCCTTTTAGGAGACGATCATCATTAAAAACGAGCACTGAAGACTCCAGTAATGTTTAAGAAAACAATAATTTTGTTACTAACATTCAGTTCAATGACCCAAGGTCAGTTTTGACCCAAAAATGAGAGGAATTTAAGCTTACTTGTAAAATGCCAACATAGCACCCGTCACAAGCATACCACCAGGCATTTGGAAACTCATTCGCCCAAAAACATTCTGTTTGTCGCCAGTATCTGGGTGGAAAGCACTTTCGTAGAGTCGTTTTGCATTCATTACCTCTTCTTTGGTTGTTCCCGCAGGTTCTTTGCCCTCTCTGGAACATATAAATAATTGTATTTCTTAAATTCTGGCTATGTAGGTAAATCATCTGATATGGTCAGCATTGAAGCGGTTTTGGTGCTTTTCCATGAAAAATTTCATGAAACAATTGAACAACAAAATCGCAGGAAACCGTTGAAAGTATAAAATCGAAAAACACTTAAGTGAAAAAAAAAATTCAAATGAAAATTACAAAATTTTTTTGGGACCTTGCATGATTCTCTTTCCTTGCGTGTGTGTTTACCTACATTAAGTAAATTTGAGTTTGAGCAACTTTCTGCACAAGTATTTCAATTTAAAATTTGTATGATTAACTTGTGACAATGATTTTAATACACTCTGCAGAACGGGCTGACTGCCCATAATCTGAGAGGACTCATTTGCTCCGATGATGAGCAAACAGCCTTAAAAAGCATTTGCAGAGTAAATTAAAATTATTGTCATAAGTGAGTTATTTGTTTTTAGAAACATTGTTAAAATCTTAAAACCTACATTTGGACTGCATTTTGCAATTTGGAACTATAAATTCTGGCTCTTTCGGAAAAACACTTATGTGCATAGGGAAACTAATGGCACAGACGTTGTTTTAAAACCGGGCTATAATTTACAGTTCCAAATTGTAAAATGCAGTTCATTTAGCCATGGCTCAATTTAAGTAAGGGCCCAAATAATGGGAATTTAAGTATCATACCTAATTTATACTGCCAAAATGATATTGCGTGATGAAGAAGAATAGAAAGAAGAAGTCCTTCAAACTAGCTTGACAGTTATTATGATGAAAAAAAAATTGTTTCGAGAGAGGTGCTAATGAAAAAAATGTTTCGGAGAATTTCAAAATTAAGTCAAAGGTAAGGACCTGAATCTTTCCACTTACTTGTAAAGATTGCGTAAAACTTTAGCTTCTTCATACTGCTTGTCAGGTAGGAAACAGAGTCTTGGATCTGTTACCCATGCAAAGTATTTCACTCTTCCAACATATGTATCTAAATCCCAGGGCGATGCTTCAATATCAATCCTATCGCTACTCCCAGTGGCTGACTGTTTGGACATCATCTTTAAGGTCTGGTGAAAGCTGCAAGGAATAGAGAATAAGAATGAATTACACAGATAGTTAAGTATATTGCAGAGCTCGATTGATGCAAAATTGGTCTACAGCTAGCTCTCTCTGACAGCATCAAAAGAATTAGTTGGGGTGACTTTCTTTAAATATGACAGAAAATTCATGGCAGTTCAGATGGGTTGAGAAAAATTCCTGGGTTTCAAAAATAAAACTTGGCAGGCTGCAGCACCTAAGACTGCAGATCTGCTGCCACCACGATTCCTCCTTTGAGCCTCTTCCTCACTAAATTCATCGTATGCATCTTAATTCTGCCAGGCATACAAGTAGCAATTTATTTGGTTCCTAATGTTATGCGAGAGATTAGCCACGACTGATGTTCAGCAGCACTACTGAATTTATAGAAGCGAGCAAAAAGTAATTTCGGCCTCCCTAGTCAAGAGAACTCAACAATTTAAGAATTTGCCTTGATATAGCTGATTTCTGGGGAGTTTCTAGAGGCTATTCAAGGCATGAATTAGGGTTGAAGATTTTAAAACAAGAGAGAAAAAATAAAAATACCTACGTAATGAGGAGCTCGATAAGCGAAAACCGGAGGACTCCAAAAAAATAGACAAAGCAATTAACTATTGACAAATTAAAAGAGCTGGATATGTACTAATTCTGCAGAAAAACATTAATCCAATGAAAACAAAAAAATTAGAAAATTAGGGTACTTAAAAAACGGTAATTCTTACTCTTTCTTACCTTGTCACAGAGAGTCAAGCACAGCAGTCACAATCCAGGTAAGCCAAGCGTTAAAATACTTCGCCGATCAGAATAAGATGAAAAACATGGCATAAACAAAACTTTGACAAAATTGAGAGATAAATTAGTAAGCTTGTAAGCGGACTTGCTCAAGAAATTCAAGGGTCAAATGGAACACAACTGATAACAGAGCATTTCCCAATAGGGAAGAGAGCAATTGAATTTCCCGATAAATTGGAGGCAAAGGCTTAGAACTTGTGAAACACCGGTTGGAGGGAAAAAAGAAACGATTGTTCGCTATGCTAATGAGCAGAAAACACACAAACAGAATGAGAATGAAAAAAATTTACAATTCGTATTCTTCTTGAAGCTCCTACACCTGGAAATAAAACATCAAGTTCAAGCCCAAAATCATAACACGGTGTGATATGAGCGTTTACCAACAATGTTTCTAGAGTGCGCTGTTGGCATTGTCGACAGGGACGTATGATATATTGTATTCCTTAGAAATGAAGGAGTTCTTTATTTTCAATTATTCGGTTTCTTTTTTGTCAGTAGATCAATTTTTCTCACTGCCCGTTGCCCGCAGGTGATTAAGACCGTCAAATTCCAATTTCTGTGCACATGTTTACTCCAAAAAATACACTCTACTACTCTAGGTCGGTATATTCTTGTGTATTGGAGCCACGCTCATTGCTCTTACTCATGTGGGATGCGGGTCCGCTTTTCCGAATGAATGCAGGTGGCCGGGTGCCGGCTGGTCCTTTCACTCTGCTTTTTTCATTTGTCGTGCTCCATTTCCTTCAATGATAAAACTAGTTTTACGTGCATCTCGAAGGCCCGGTTTTAAAATCTATGCATATTATTTTTCGTTTTTACATGAACAATAAACTAGTCAACCAACCGACAGCTTCATTAAACCAAGAGAGTGTAGTAGATCTTGAAAGACCATATGATGTGATCGGGCTTCTTTCTACGCAAAATTATTAAATAATTTTGCGGGAGAATCTCCTGAAATTTTCAGGAGATTTTCAACGTTGTAATTTGAGACGCGCACGGGTACAGGGGTGGAGCTATAAGCACTTTCCACGAGGAGGATTTTCAGCATAAAAAAAAAAAACAGTTTTTCACATTGTTCTTCAAGCCTCTCGAACCTCTCTCCTTTTTTAAGCGTGCATCATAACTCTGACCTACCTTCATTCCGTTCGATACCGAAGGGAGGACAAGGGGGATTTTGCAAGCTCTTACAAAAGGGTTTGGAGAGCACTGCACTTCCACATTGCTTCCACAGTCTTAAAGTGGCCTCAAAACAAGAGAAATTTTGAGCCCTTCCTACCGAAAAATTTACTGAATTACCATTTCGTTGATGAACATAGAGAACATAGGAAGAAAGGTTTGCAAAATGCCTCACATTGGCACACTATTCTGCTGGAGGAGGCCAAGGAGATTGAGATAACAGCAATGACCCAAAGTTCTGTCCAGGTCCCCCGGGTGACTGGATTATTCCAATTTTTTACCGCAAAATTTAAACGGTAAAAATAATTAAGTTCAGAATGTAGGTGTTAGACAACTTTTAAATAAATAAGCTCCATCTCTTCCGTCACCATTTTATTTTTTTACAGAGAAATTGTTCAACGAAGCTGTCCGAAAATTTCACTGAATTTTCTTTGTGCTGCCGATAAAATTTAGTGAAATTTCCAAACCGATTCAACCAACAATTTCTCAGTAAAGAAATAAAATGGCGGCGGAAATTTTTAAACGTCGCATGGCGCTTGTGATACTTTGCCTGGAAGGTCATAGAGAAAAAAAAGGAGGTGTTTGCATTTCGGGCATCTTGGAATTTTTCATAGAGTATCTATAGCTTTGATGACGTCATTGGGTACAGCGACGTTTTTATCCTGTCGATTTTCTTGGAAATGGTGTAATTTAAGGGAAAAAGTCATTCTATAAAAAGTGCTTGAAATTAAATAAAGAGTTGATTTAAGTAAAAAAATCGGACATTATGGTCCGTTTTTACAGCGTCAACATAACCCTCAACGAGCGTCTTGTTTACATTGATGACGTAGGTGGGTACAAATCCTCAAGATGCAAACACCTCCTTTTTTTTCTCTATGCTGGAAGGTGACGACATGTGGCGCGCTCTATGCATACTCCCCCCTTCGCTGCCCCCTCCCTCTTCAATCTCCCTTATCCCTTATCAGCAGCAGGTAGGATTCAATGTTTACTTGATTACAGGTTGAGTTTGATCATTACCTGCTCTCCTTGACAATGATTTCTGCCGAAGGGCTGTGTTCAAAGATTTAGAAATTTTAGTTAAAAGTACCGCCAATCAAAGTAGAAGCTCAATGCTCTTTCCTTTTACTGTATGGAATGCTTTAATTTTCTAAAATAGTGCCATTAAACAACAGTGTAATTTCACCATTCAGTTCCCAGTTGGTCTGACAGGTGAGTGACTTTAGTCTTAATCCAATTAGGTAAGTTTCAGCTTTAGCTTTTCAGTCATGCAAGTGAAGTGCATCAATGATAGAGTCAACGCCAACAGGGGTAAATTTATTTTCACCAAAGATCTTGGCACAGGAACCACATGAGGTAAGTAGGTATTGGAGGTAACTTTGTCCCGTAGTTCGGGATTTTTTTACCTCCTGTGTTTTGTAGAATTTTCCCATATAATTGATCTCTTGATATCTTTGTCTGCAAGTGTAAAGAATCAGTAAGGGAAACAATTGGTTTTAGCATCAGCCTACTTCAGTCAGCAATGACACAAGTGGGGCAGTTGGGCAGATCTTTTAAAAGGTCATCGTCCAAGCTGTTACAGCTTCTGTAGCTAGAAGTCACTAAACATGATTCCAACTGTATTTTGAAACCCTGCTTTTCTTGAGATTGGCGCATAGAAAGTTTCATTTTAAAATTCATCTTGCTCAGAAAGGCGTAAAGAAACATCATATCAAGTAATCTCCAAATTTTGCTAGTACTGAATTTCTTACTATCATGTGTGTAGTCCTTTAAATTGAGGTTTGAGTGCCCTTACCTTACACAGATTGAATAACAGTGTAGAAACCGACATACCTTCATATTCTAACATGTTCCCAATTGATCATTTTATCAATCTCTAGTCTTCAGGCTTTAATTTGTATTTCATCTTTGTTCAGGGTTTTGCATACTTCCCGATCCACCTCAGCTCTTAAGAATGGCGAGAAATACACGTATACTGTTGCATCCAGCATTTTCAAGAATTAGTCTTATCCCAGCTCCTATGATTTCATATTTGACGTTATTCAAGATTTAGGAACTTGGTTTATCATGATCGAGTCTCAGCTGGAATACCATTGAAGAAACATTCCGTTCAGTTGAACCACATCTAAATCAAAGTTGTTATGCCATTGGAGAAACATTCTCAGAGGTGAAAAACTTCAAATATTTTTTTTTCTTCTCCTCTAAACCAATATAATTAGATGTTGGCAATTTATACAGTAGAATATATTGAAAAAATAATTTGCCGTGCAGTTTGCATACCGCTAACAGGATACTTGCTTTTGCAGTCATACAGTCAATAGGTTTTGCTGTAGGTATGTATATCTATTTCATACTTATGTGTAAAATCTTAAAAAAATCATCTCTTAAAGGTCAGGAAAGAATCAATCTTTCATTCCAGTACTCTTTATTTCTAATGGTTTAAAATTCCTATGATAAAATATTTGCAAATTTTCTTGGCAAAGCCTTAGAATAATTGAATCACACATTTTTGTTCTCAGATTTATTATCAGCGTGTCATCTACAACATGTTGCTTACTTTTTTCTTCATGGCTGTGTCATGGATTCAATCTTGGCGGTTTAATAATATTAAACATGCCGTTAAAAATGTACTGAACTCAAAATCTTCCATCTCTATGTATAAAGACTGTAATGGTAGTATTCCAAAACTGCCACATTCTCAAGGTAGGGGCGATTCATCTAAATACTGCTTAAGTGTTCACTGAAAAGTAAAATCTAATTTAGGGAAAGTTGTGGCAGAGTGTCTGAAGGTCTGGAAAATCCAGAAAATGGGTAATTATAAGGAAATTTTATTTTAGTTAACTGAAAGGTTAAACCCTGGAAGGAAAAAAAATTACCTTCGTCTGTCATTTGCAGTAAAATTAATTCCAAAAACGTGTCACTTTCTGTGAAAAGTCAGGAAATTTTGGTTATGTTGGTCAGGGAAAACCCAGAAGTCAGGAATTTTTTCCTGTTGAGTCTATAGATACCCTGGTAGGTAGTAGATTTCTGTGACCTGGCTCATTTCATTCTGTGCAAATCATTTGTTAAAATCACAAATTCAAGCCTGAATACAGCTCCGCAGGTATGTAAGGGGTGGAGTGCTTGTTCAAAATGAATGGAAGTCTCCCACTTCCTGCAATTAAATGAGTCATTGATGAGCCTGCTCAGTGAGATCTAGTTTGAATGCTGGGTGAGGGTAAAGCTGCTTCAAATCCTTTTTCATTGCCTTAGCAGGTCCCTCCAGCCCAGAATGCTACCGATATAAACGTTGCCACTTTGTGGGGAGAAATGTTCGTATTTTTAGATTGAAGCTGATTTGGATGGAGGTATATCCACAGATTGTGCCGTTTGAACTGAAAAATTATTTTATAGTAACAGTGAAAAGGATTTTTTACCATTGCAGTTATCTTGTTCTCATGTATTTTGGTGGAAAAATCTTGGTTTTTTAGATGGTTGGTTTTTCGGGAGGAAAGCAAAAATCTTTTCAGACTTAGCTGTGTACATTACATAGGAATCAACCATCAAATACCAATATTTTTTTTCTCTTTTTGATGCAGACCTCTGATATCAACAGGTTTTCTTTGGAAGTTTCGAATTCTCATAAGAGTCCCACATGACTTCCTCTTTAAGTATGAGAGATCAAAATATTTTTATCTGTAACTATTCTTTTTCGTACCCTCTCTTACTTTATTCAGTTTTCGAGGCTTAAAACTTTTGCTCTACTTTTTTCACAAGGTCGTTGTAAGTTTCACCAAAATTTTGTGTTCTTAGTTTTCGAAATATGAAGATCATCACTCATGAATAAGCATGTATCATGTTATTTTTTCTAAAATTGCTATGAGCTCAAAATTTTTTGTATTTGACCATCATGTCTAAATTTCCTCTCATTTATTTTTCAGGAAATGATAAAGTAAATTACATTCCATGTAGGAGTCTAAGCTCTAGCATTTGTTTAAATCAAAATGAAGCATTTTTGTCAAATTTACTGTTCTTTTCACCCAGCAAGCGAGTTTGCTCCGTCCTACCTCAGGTTTGCTCTTTTAAAAGTACGCATGACAAGCTCCTATTTTTCATACTCGAATTAACTACACAGTATCCTAATAATTCGCTAGACCAATTATTAAATACTGAATACTGGCTGATACTAGAGTTCAGCCAAATTTTATTTTTCTCCCATAAAAAAGCTGCGCAATTTCATTCAAGTCAACTCTGGTTTTTTACATGAGGGGGAAATATAAATTTTTCATAACCAATGGTGAATAAAAACCTAACTACATCGGTTGGTAGTTTATTTCAGTAATTTTTGTTGCAAAAATCATGTTCTATGTGAAATTCTGAAGCAAAACCTGTTATTGGAATGCTGAACATTGCACCTTGTCTAGTAGTTCATTTTCCCCAAACTATCAAATTCAATAATTATCATGTCATTTCCTCCTTAATTGTTCAATACATCATCATAACCAATATCAGTGGAAAATCAGGCGAATTTTCCTGTCTTTGAATGAGTGATTTTTCATTTTATAGGTATCTCACCTGATATTTTACTCATTTGTTTGCAGCAACAAGTGGATATCAACAATTGGATTGCTGTTCCTTCTGAAAAGACTGAGTTTCCACTCAAATTGAGTGGACACACCAATTTAAAACTGGACGAATCTCATGTATTTATTATTATTGAGTCGGATTTAGGGGAATCTCATTCTGTACAAAATGGTCTTAATTTTGAAGTGAGTTTATCTTTCTTTACTTCCTCAGGCCTTTTCTCAATGACCTAAGAAAAAGGTCAGTCTCTATTAGATGAGATCTCTACTAGCTAGATGAGATATGTAGTTTTTTTTTAATCATAAGAACCCTTGAGTCCAAAGTATCTTGTCATCTCAAAAACAACTACAGTGAAATCTCGTTAAGTCAAACTACGGGTAAGACCAAATCCCTCTTAAGTAGAAAATTCTTTTGGTCCTTAGACACTGCTACAAGAGGCAATATAAAAAACCTATGATCAAGACGAATCTGTGTTTTTTGTACGGAAGAGAAGCTGTGCAAATCGAAAATAATCATGTGAAAAATCCGACAAAAATTCGATTTTATAAGTGAAAAATGAAGAGAGTGAAGTGATTCAACATGAAAGGAACTTGGTAAAAAAATATTTCTAATGACTCTCCTCTATTTTTGAAGAAAATTAAGATGTAGGAGCTTCAAATTCTTGATGTGTCGATGACACTTCACATTCAATTTAAGAATATTTATACTGCAAAGAATTTTTATTTAATTAAGTTTATTCATAGATTAACCTTGGGAATTGTGAAATTTGAGAAGGAGACTCAGGTGCATCAACCTGTCATTTTTCCTCTCAGTTCACTTAACCTCTGATCTGTTTACCCCATCCTGCTCATTGTATGCTGGGAATTTGACTAGATATACAAAAGAGGAATACTTAGGAGATAATTATGTGTTAAGCTGCAAAGCAGATATGACTAAAGCAGCTTAAATTGAAATTTCTCTTGGTCCCTGAACAATTTTACTTCTTTTCTCCTTTTATTTCTTTCGTCCACCTTTTTTTTTGTTAATTTATGTTATTGAGTTTTTCAGTTCAAATTAACTTTTAATGTTGATAATACATGTGTAGTTGTATTTTCTCCTCAACCCTCTATGTTATTTAATCAGTATTTTACAATAGATGCAACTTATTGCTGAATTTGAACATTGCTTGCTGAAATTTATTTGGAATAAAACAATTTCCTTTATTTTTTCAGGTAGAATATTTTGGAATACCTAAAAGTTGGTATGTGGGTGATTTATTTGTTCTCTTGCTTGAGTCAGATCTTAATCGTCTAGCTGAACTGACAACCCTTTTCTTGTCAAATAATCTGTGCTTCAGTAATAAACTAGAAATCACAAGGATAGAGTGTAAGTCATTATTTGAATCAAGAACAAAAAATCAAGTATTTCTACTGAATTTTTAAAATTTTCTCTAATCAAGAAAGTTCTTTGATACCTTTATGAATTGCAACCAAAAACAAAAGTTTAGCTAATTTTGTCGTACAAAAAATTGAAAAGCTTTCCTGTGGAGGCTAGAGGAACGCCTTTGAAATATATATAATTCGATCAGTGTACATTTGAAGCTGTAAGAAAACGGATTTGCATATTTTGGCCTCTAATGGGCCTGTTGCAAACTTTTGCTAGAGCAAAAGTAAGAGTTGTTTCCTATAGATAATGCCTCAAAAATCACGATGAGCGCATCGGCAAAGTCTGAAATGCACTCATAACTTCACAATCTGCGTAAGAAATTTGCGGTTTTTTGAGCTTCCCGCTTCAAAAACGATACTACGGCACAGGTGAACATTTTATTAGAGGAGTCGTTCCATCCGCCAAAACACCTGTGATGTGACGAGATAACACCTGAACAGGATTATACCAGATAACAATCGGCGTGTTCACGTTCATATTTTCCTCACCCGCCTTAATTGACCTTGAACTCTCCTCGAATTACGCGCGGAACTGCGCAAGCGTCGGCCATGATGAATATTGCCAACGATGGAGCGACGCTTCTAACAAAATGTTCACCTGTGCCGTAGTATCGTTTTTGAAGCGGGAAGCTCAAAAAAACGCAAATTTCTCATGCAGATTGTGAAGTTATGAGTGCATTTCAGACTTTGCCGATGCGCTCATCGTGATTTTTGAGGCATTATCTATAGGAAACAACTCTTACTTTTGCTCTAGCAAAAGTTTGCAACAGGCCCATTGTGGAGAGGAGCATTGGATCATAATAATAACATTATGTGTTTCCGAAGATCCGCAGTTGCTGTGTATTATTTATTAAAACAAGGACCAATTACAGGACATCCTTCTATGGGCAAATTCTTCAGTCAAAACCAGTTACAATAAAATGTAATCTGTTGTACTGTACTATTTTTCTTTCTTTCTCCCTTTTTTTTTCAATTTTCAGTTCAGTTTTGAAAAATTCTCAATTATTTTTTCATAGTTTACTGTTGTCATGACGAATCCAAGAATCAAAATTTTTCATAAAGTTAGAATATCTGTGTTGAATTTTAGTCATTATTTTTACTTGAGCTTCCATGTTTCTATCATTATGAACGAATGCAATCTTAGTTTTGTCATTTTTCTTTTTAATAGCGGTTGAAGTCAGGGGTGAACCATGCAAATTATCTGGTGTCGATCTAACATCTATCACTAGAAGATTAAAATCTGGATCACGAGGTATGCATAGCATTTCGACTAAATATATTAAAAACACCTAAACCTATTTTAAATTTTGGCTCTGATATATCATATCAATGGCAAAATTCTCAAACCTTGTATCTTGGTTTGCAGCATTTCTGATTTCCTATTGTACTTTATTTTTCTTCTGGAAAATTATTTTACATCCCTCCTCAACAATATACATAATTTTCATTTTCTGTGCAAAGAACACTTTATGAAAATTTCAAGGAATGATGTTGATTTGTTCAACATGTAAAAATGTCGACGGCGTAAGTTCGCAATCACACATCTCGTTTGTGGTGTCTGAAAATCTCCGCCTCTATGGTTATTTTTTTAAAGGAGAACAAATTGACATCATTTCTTGAAGTCTTTGCTGAATTTCTTTGCACAGAGAAGAAAAATCACAGCAGTTTTAAAGAATTGCCATTGAGTAGTTTTCCATTTAAAAAATAAAGTATGACAGGAAGTCTGCGATGTCGCAAACCGAGTTATGTGGTTGCCGACTTATACCATCGATATATGTATATATATTAAACAGAAAAATCTATTTTTAAACACTTTCAATACAATGAAAAAAATACATACTTTTGTGTCAGTACATTTTTTAATACTCAATGGTCACTTTTCAGTTTTTGGCTTGCCAATTTTAAATTTCTAGAAAACCTTTTGTGCAAGTCCAATAAATTCTTCAAGAAAATGTAATCCCTCAGTAGATTTTTTTTACTTCTATTTCCTCTTCATACCTTATGTACCACCAAGCCTCACGCTTTGAAAACTCAGCTTGTTGCATTTTTTTATATTTCTCCGCCATCCACTAATTTGTGTTAATTTCTCACAGGTGTTATCAATATAAAAGACGAACAAGAAGGCCTCCTATCCTCCCATAGGAAATTATACTCTGCCATTTGCGAAGCTGCCACCAATGCTGTTAGCGAACATTGTAGTGTTACCGTCTCAGATTTTGGGTACATATTTCGTTTAGTGGTTGATTACAAACTTTATATTTTTAATGATTAAAATCTGTATCACCTTTACTTTCTCCATCGCCTATTTTTACATAGACGAGAGGGGTCCTTTAGAGTAGCCTCTTTTAATTGAAAATGTCGTGGACCTTCTGAATACTAAAAAAACAAATGTCTCTGCAAGATAATTGCTTTTTCATTTAATTTTTCCTATCTACAACAGTCCTCGGAATTAAAGTTGGACCACATTTTGCAATTTGGAACTATTAATTCTAGCCTGGTGTAAAAACAACGTATGTGCCATTAGTTTCCCTATGCACATAAGTGTTTTTCCAGAAGAGCCCGAATTTATAGTTCCAAATTGCAAAATGCAGTCCTGTTCATAATCAGAAAAAATGTGATTGCAAGAAGGCCAGCATGCATCTCTGGTAGTTTTTTAAGCATAGTGTCCTTAAATCATTACTCTTTCCTCTGCATGAAATGTTCAATCTGAATTTGAGTGACGAGTTGTTTGTTCAACCTGGTAGTTTAAACGAAGACATCAGGGTGTCAGTCAAGGTGTATGAAGGGAGGAAGTATTTTATGACTCAAAAATGAGTTCATTAATCAGATTTCACACAGCACTACTGAAATTTCTCAAATTATTTCATATCAATTCATTTTTAGTGTATCAAGGAATGAAAAATGATTTTTTTTACCAATTAGTATTATGTCAGTAGCTGATACGAAAAAATATGATGATATAGATTTGCGCCCTAAACTCAAAGAGGTGCCGTTTTCAAAGGTGAGAATCCTTGCTCTCGCCCTGCATCTTAAACCTCAATGTAATTTTCCAGATTGACAATTAATCCTGAAAGTGCGGAGGAGAATAGCCAAAATGGTTACCTGCCAATTAGGGAAGAAACGGATCGTGCAAAATCATGTGATATAGACAGAAAAGACTCTTATGACAGTTTATCTTTGAGGTGCCCCAGCGATTCTGTCATCAATCATAGTAACTCCTCTAATTACTTCAGCGAATGTGGGACTCTTAGGAGTACTCCTCTATCCCAATTCAATAAGAGGTATGAATTATTACCCAACTAAGATTTTAAACAGAACAACAGGTCTGAATTCACCATCTCTCTCAATTGTGCCATTTCCGCATCGCTCACTTACATTTTATTGATGTAAAGGAGAACTGTCTCGTGAATTTCTCTGAGATTTCAAATGACTTTACCATACACTCGTGAGAAATGATCCTGAAATTTTTCCGACCAATTCGTGCTCGCCCCTCCCATGAAAAAATGAATTGTTTGTCAAAATACTGAGACAGCGCTGACAAGGTATATTCCTTTGTGCAGAAGAAGACGAATTAACCATTCACAACATATTCATTATATTAGACAGATAAATGTTGCTCAGTAAAGTATCAATTATTAGCACGAAAAATGAATTATCAACCTGTTAAATTATTGTAACACGGATGCTGTTCGCTCATACAACCCTCTCTTTTTAAAAACTTTGATTTTCAATTTTTTCTTGATAACGACCTTTTTTATAATATTGACGCAGACTAGCATTCTTATTTCTAAAATCCTTTGTCACCGCAGTCCTATTCTTACATGTAGTTGACGTGTCATACAACTCTGAGAAGTTTCTACACCCCTACCCCAGCTGTCTAAATTTATTTTTCTTGACTGCAGCTGTATCTCTGTCTACAGACTGGTAAAAAATTTAGAGAAATGTGATGCTGACAAGTCAGGTTTTACATCTATGGATTCACTCAACACTGCCTACAGCACCCTATCAGGGCGTAGAGTGAGTGTGCCCCACCATGGAGAGGCTTCAACGGGAAAGCCCCCAGTCATCACAATTTTCAGTTCAAGCTCGTCATCTGTGGAAAATGTCAGAAATTCCCTTCATGAAATCGTAGAAAGGGATAGGTATGTTGTCTCTTTACTTTTTTTATAAGAGTCGTATTTTGTTCAGAGGCAACACTCGCATCTTGTTGGAAAATAAGCAACAATTGCATTTTGTTCCAAGTTGTTTTGTGTTGTGGGGGCGGGGCTTATCTTTGCGCGCAAAATTTAGGAACCCCTACAGCAACGATGTTGTGCAAAAACTGCAATGTGCTCAGAGACAAGTCGTTTTTATGCTGTTGCCCAAGACAACGCTGTTTTCTAATCTAAAATTGGAATTTGCTCTCTCGTTGGTTGTACTGAATCATGCAAAAGAAACAAGAAAAAAATCAGAAACAATTTGTTGTCTCGAACAAATTATGACTAATCTGCCTGTATGTTGGGGAAAGTTCCACAGTGGAAAGGGGATCTAAGCAGAAGGGGGCTTTAAAGGATAATGTTACGGACAAAATATGCGCTGCAATAATTGCGGCAAAGTGCTAACTTTTTGGAGATCATTTAGGTAGTCATGTAGATTTTGTCATCAAAACTTTCATGGAAACCTCTGATTGCTCAAGATAATAGGGGGTCGAGTTAGCTGAAGTTGTGTACATTTTTTCAGTCAACCCTTCATATGCATCAAGAGTGTGTCTCAATGAGAGGTGGGAGGTTATAATACAAGACAAATGCTGCTATGAACTTATAAACATAATGACAACCAATTAATCTAATTTACTGAAAGATTAGTCTGATAGAATTTCAATTTGCGGGCCGATTATTGAAACTGATGGACAAAGCGATAGACAAAGAAGACACAGGAAGTATGGAGCGATCCTATTGGTTGACATGGTTGGTTCTTATAGACTAAGGAAGAAAATGATGGACTAACTGTCGGGTCTTCAGTGGATTACCGTCAGTTGGTCTATTACCTACCTCCTATGTCCATTGCCACCACCTGCTTCCACCAATAGGATCCCTCCAAATCCCTTTTGTCGTCTTTGTCTACAGCTTTGTCTGTAAGTTTCAATAATCGGCCCGCTGAAAAGGCAGGGGGTCAAATGGCCTAAATTGGTGGTACCAGATGCACCAATATTCTCCCGGACAAACTTGTGCAGTTTTATCCTCTTTTTGTCTCTACAAAATGATAGTGCCTTAGTGAGCCCTTACTATTTTTCTATAATTAAAATAGAATAAACAATAAAGGAATTCTTCTTTTGCAGGTACACAATTCATTCCCTCAATCTGAATAAAATGATCTCATCACCCTGGCTTCAGAAGTCCAAACTAGTAATTATTTGCGGCAATGTTCCTCCTTCATTAGTTCCTCACTTGCTGAAATACCTGGTCAGTGATGGCGGTCAAATCCTATGCATTTGTTCTGATCTGCTAGGAGTTTTCCTTTCGTCTTTTCAAACAGCTGAAGTTCGGCCTGATGAAATTGTACGCTTAAATTATGACAAATGGAAACATGTTCCTTTGATGCATCATATCTTCTGCTATCAGCCTTCACCGACCTCTGATCAATTTCCTCCTGAAGAATCCCTGAGGTATGTCTGAGACTGAAATACTATCACGGTATGCTTTTAAGAATTTGACTGTATAGGCACACTCTCAGCTTTGCAGCTACTGTAATATTTTTATAATCGCGGGGTTTGCAAGAAAACCTAATTTCACTGAGACTACCTACCATTGTCGCATACCCTGTTCCATGTGCGTTAGCGTATCGCTCCACAGTTTCTAAGTTTTGTCCTCAAAAGAGAAGGACGTTGAAAACAAAAGAAGTTTGATTTTCGATTCTTATGCATAATCTCGACTTTACTTAACTTGGAGTGTTACTTAATTTGTAATTTTTCATGAGCTAGTGTGTGAGTAGGTCAGGTTTCTTGCAATGATCTGCAAAACACATTCATTTTTAAACCTCAGTGTCAGATGGCACCTGCTGACTTAGGTCCAAAAAATTGTGAGTTAACAAGGGGAAACTATTACCTTGTTTTTTTTTTTTTTTTTAAAGATAGTAATTTTCCCGGCTGGGACCAGCTCTCCTTTTGTGTCCTCAAGTTTTTCAAATCAGCAAACATAGGCTGTAGTATCAATCAATCGCTTTTTTTTCCAGCGATTCTGTGTCAGCCAGAACTCCTTCATCAGTTGAAGTAATTGACATGAACAACGAGTCGCACACATTACTTGTCAAGGTCCTTGGTGTTGAAGAAACGTGGCACACTCCAAGTTTCCTTCTGGCAACCTGTCTCTCCTCTGAGGGGAAAGTTCTCTTCTCTCAAGTGCACTTAGATTCAGACCCAGTCAAATCGGAAATTTACTCTGAGAAACCGAGCTCCGACAAAAAAGTGCGCTTGGAAATCCTCGCAGATTTGCTTCTGAAACACTTTGATATCAAATGTTGCCTGGAAACGGTCAAGAGCAGTTACACTCCTGCTTATTTCCTCGGAAATCATGAACAGAAGTCGTCTTTTCTTGAAGATATAAAGGAATCCATGATTGACAATGGTTTGAAAATCAAAGATTTGGCCATCAAATTTTATGGCAAAGGGCAGAACCCGTCGAAAGCCAGTGAAAATTTCCTGCCGATTCTATTACATTCTTGTCCAGCAAGATTCTCAACAGTTGAGTACTTTGATAATCTCAAGACAAAAGAATTTGGCCGTCTGGTGATCTACTCAGATATTTTAAAAACATCCATGGCCTTGTTAGCAGGACCAAAAATGGCAAATGGGCTGGCTGTGATTCCGCGACTCCAAACTCGAGGCTCAGGCAGAGCTGGAAATGAGTGGCTGAGTCCAGAAGGGTCAGCCTCCTATTCGATCCAACTTCATATCTCTCTTGACTCAGAGCTAGGACAACACTTGTCCTTACTACAACATATCGTAAGTCTCGCTTCTGTGCACGCTATCGTATCCAAGCCTGGTTATGAAAGACTCAGCCTGGGACTGAAGTGGCCTAATGACATATATGCTGGGGACAATGTCAAAATAGGAGGAGTTGCAGTGAACACTTTTATTTATGGTCGAACAGCAGTTTGCAACATTGGTAAGTTTTTAATCATTTTGCTCTTTTATGATACTAGTTGCAAGTTAAAGCAAAACTCACGCTGTCAGCCCACTGACAAGGATTCCCAAGAGTTCCAGATCTTGGTGAGCATTATAGTAAACTGTCAATAATTCATTAATGCTGTTTTCAAGATCAAGGGTGCAGAAAATTCCTTTCCTGAGAAAAATCCATTTCAAAAACTCCTTTCCCCTAAAATTTTCGAAACAATGATGCATTTTTTCTTCTTTTTGGACTGAAGTTTTATAAACGAAGTCAAGTTAAGAACAAAGAGATTAAATTTTCAAGTTTCTTAGTGTGACAAAACCCCTGTGACCCGCCATGCTCCTTCGTTTCAAAATTAGAGAGGCAGAGATTATGTAGATAGCGGAAACATTTTTCTCGCAAGGACATCTCAGTCTTGAAAAATTCTGTTACACATTTTCCTCGAATAACAAACTTATAAGTTTTACTTTTCATCTACCTCCTCTTACTGATGCTTTGAAAATTCAAGGTTGAAAAAATTCTGCCTCAATCCCCTAGCTGGAGTGGTCTTAATTTATTACCTACTCTTTTCACATTTTTATTTAAGGTGCTGGGTTGAATTTGAGCAATAGTCTGCCGACCACTTGTATCAATGATATGGTAGATGAATTGAGTCAAAGCTCTGGAGGGAAACTCAAAAAGATTTCACATGAATCATACTTTGCATGGGTTTTCAACGAGTTGGAACTGTTTGTCAACGCTGCTCAAGAGGGCCGAATTCCTGAAATTCTTGACCTGTACTATCAGTATTGGCTACATGAGTAAGTATTTAAGATTAATTTTCTTGCTTATAAAACGTATCAATGGTGAAACTCTGAAACGACGTATCTTCTTTGCAGTGTTTCAATATTTTTGTTCCCATTTTATTTTTTTAAAGAAGAACAATTCAATATTATTGCTTGAAATTTTTACCGTGTACTCTCAGAGGCAATAACTTCAAGAAAGGTTTCATGAGAACGTTGCTGAGTAGTTTTCTGTTCAAAGAATAAAGTGTGACAGGAGGTCTGCAACCGAAGAACGTGGTTTAGGAGTTTCACCATAGATATGCTTTATCTGCTTACCTGTCAATTGAAACGTCAAGCCCTAAAATCTTCGAGTCCTTTGCATTTCTTCATTATCTTTTTACAGATTTATTTTGTCATCAAAAACTGGCCAATAAATCTACTCTTACGATTTTTGAAAGTTTTTCTGCTAACGTTTCAGAGCTCAGGACAAAATTTTGAGTGAATGATGGGAAATAATATCGGAGGTGAAATTTTTTGTGCCCCTCGTTAGGCTTCCTCCGATTCTGTCATCAAGGTTTTACTTTTATCAATATCCCTCCTTTTCTGAGGATGACAGCCCAACAAAACATTCATTTTGCATTTGTTTGAGTAAAATGAAATTAGTTTTACAGATATTTTCATAACATCCATTTCTCAGATGAAATTATAAATAAAGGGAAGCAGCTAATCATTTCTTGCAACTCGGCACAGCTTACAAAATTGATGAGTTCCTTTATTAACCTCTCTGTAAACAACAAGTCTTTTATAGCTCTAATATTGGCTCAATTTTTTTGATGTAAAGGTGTTGTAATTTTTTTTATTATCAATTGACTTGGAATGAAATGTAATTTATGTTTACTGTTTTTTATCGTGTATTTCCAGAAATGCAGAGATCAGTGTTGTGCAAGCAGATGGGTCTAAAAAGAATGTGACCATTGTCGGGCTCGACAAGTACGGTTTTCTGGAAGTCAGAGGGACAAAGGGAGAAAAGTTTTCTGTGCAACCTGATGGTAATTCATTCGATATGTTTGAAGGCCTCATAGCACCAAAGTGAACAATGTATCAATTGTATTTTCAAGTTATTTTTTGGTTTTCTGTTGAATTGTTTGTTTTTGAGTTTCGCTTGTTCTTGTTACACTGTTAATAAAGTTACCTGCAAAATGTATTCAGTATCATTTATTTCATTTCCACTCTGAAAAAGCTCCGTTCTTTTAAGGGGGCGAGGAGTTCCCTCCTCTTTCAAATATAGTGGACTAAATTGTTGAAAAATATGTCCTTAAGAGGACTAAGGTCTCTTTTCCCCAGGACAGTCATGCATAGGTATATGGAGCCATATCTGTAAAAACAGTGGATATCGAACATCCGCCATTTTTAGAGACTACGCTCTTTTAGAGTCCACTAATTTAAGAATGTTGTACCAAGTTTCAGACTTCTGAGGGGCCGTCCATAAATTACGCAACGCTTTGGGGAGGAAGAGTCAAGGAGAGAGTTATGCCATTTTGTTTTTACGCGCGTAAATTTTGGGCACACGGTGGCGAGATATGGGTGTGGGAAAACTGATGGTTCTTTGCACTCAGAAAATCAAATTTGAAAAACTAAAGCTTTTTAAAAGGCTGAAAGTATATATTGATAGTGTAGTTTTTTTAATTTTTTTTTGGAAATTCCCAAGTATGAATTTTTCCGAGGAATCATTTAAAAACCCAGCAGTATTCATAATCCGATCAATATCAATTCAATGTTGCGCTATGTCTCTTACATTACGCTGGGTAGTTCATCATATGCCTAAAAAAGTTCTCTGTAAAAACAGCGGACGTTTTATTTTTTTAATTTTACTGTATCTTGTTGACATTTGTTCCAAAATAAATTTCTTGACAAAATCCTATTTGCTGCACGAACAGCGAAACACACAGTTTTGAAGACCTTAAACGAGATTTTCTCAAAACTTGAAAACACGACATCCGCAATTTTTACACATAAGATTTCATATGCATACATTTTAAGTGTAATAGAGCTGGAGATCTTTTGACGGATGCTTTTTGTTTTTCTTTCTGCATTACTGAAGATCGACTATCAGAAAATAATTCTGACTCCCTGCAGACTTTGATAATATCGAGGATGCATTTATACTACAGATTTAGAGCAGACTCCAAGAATTCCAATAGCTTTTTAAGAGGGTAAGAAGGAGGAACAAATAAATACAAAATTAAAGACTAAACGAGAAAACCCAAGTTTATATATCAAAAGAAGTAAATGAGATACTGCACAAATATACATACAAATAAAGAGATGTCTGAATTTTGAACTTGACGTGAAATGTATTGTAAAAATTTTTCAAGAGTGAGATAGTGCTGTTAAAGGAAAACATTCTAATCATGAGTTCTGTGTTCTATGGGCTTCTTGCGAAATCTTACGACAAAAATGTCATGCATTATACTAATATCTGGTTCCATTCTCGTTCTCTCACAGAAGTGAAAAGAGACAAGGAAGTTACAACATGTTTTATTTTGAATAAAAATTATTCTTCTCAAAAATTGAGCTGCGTTACAAAACATAATTTCACAATGACAATAAAACGGAACATAATTTTTTTTTTTTTTTTTTTTAAAAAAAAAGTCATTATTTCTGATGTAGTATTCTCTAGAAAAATTACAGAAACAACTAGTTACAAAGGATAGATATTACATAGTTTTCATTGAAGAATTGATAATTTGTTGAACAACTTCGGCTCAGTATTGTTACGGTAATTACCTTGGCCTATCAGCTGTTTTATAATGCCTTTAAATAGGTATGCGAGATCAAAGGCTCTGAAGTACACTGACCTTCTTTAAAAACTGTTCATTATTGATAAATTCGAACTTTTGATTGGTTTATTCTAAAGTTTCTCATGGTACCTACTTACGTGGCTACTGGACCCAACTTCTAGATAAATGCACAATATTGTTGACTGGTCATGAACTTTTGAAGTTACTAATCCTGCGACACTAATTCCCTGTTGCTTATCAGTGATTTTAAAGAAAAATATTGGCTAGTTTAGCTGCAATTCCTATGCAAATAGGAGGTCATGCATATATTTTGAAGGTCAAGACACTAGAAGATTTGAAAATTGATGAAATTATGGCCTGATGACAATATGTTCAGAGCGAAATTCACATGAAACAATAGAACATGCAGCTATGAAAAAAACCAGACCAAGAGATGTTCTCTCAGAGAACGCCTTGCTGCTTCACGCTATCTCTATCGCCATCAATGAGTGATAGGGTTTCAAAACTGTCCATAGGAAAACTCGACTGACTTCTGCAGATTGGTCTCGCTCTTTTGAGAAAATTTGTCAAAAAGTGTGGGTGATTAAAGTCTTAAGCATTAAGGAAATTTTATAAACATCTGTAGATATTTTCCTAAAAATTGGATAGAAATATTTTTAAAATTTTTGACACAGTCTCATAAAAACTTAAAATGGAGAAAACACTATCTACAACAATGTAAAATGTAATAACAAGAAATTGCATTTAACACCCTCCTCAGATTTAGAATCTTGAACAGGGAGTGAATAGTTCCAGCACTGTTCCTGCATGTTGAGGTATGAGATTCAAAACTTAGTCAAGAACATTAAGTTAATGCCGTTTTGCTATAAAAATTATAGTCTGAGGTTCCTTCTTCCTGTGTATCTTAAATTCACTGAGCATTGTTCCCAGTGAATGTGAGGCCTTTCTTTGTCATTACCTTTTACGAAGGATTTTTTCCATTAAGTTTTGAGTATGAGAGAAATAAACATTTTTGAAAACAAAAGCAGAATTGAGAGGTGAGGAATATAATTTACAGTCAAGTATAAAATACTTTCTGGAACATTATGAGTATACTGCATCACTGGAAACCATTGACAAACTTTGAGTTTGTGATTTTAGTGACGCAGGATCAAATTCCGGAGATAACGCTCTGCCACGGTGATTAACTGTATAGAAAGAAGGGATATTCCGTAAAGTTTCCCAGGATTTACTTTCCAGATCCACAGTGGCTCGGATTTCTTTGAAGTCTCCAGCTATTTGCAAAATACCATACATTGTAAGGAACATACTAATGATCGCCTGTAACAAAATCTGAAACATGAAGAAATAAGGATTATTTAGCTGAGTTATATTGTGATCGCAGTTGTGCTCAAAACGAAGAGACTATTTTTAGTTTCTATTGAAATAATGAAGATGATATAGAGAATATGCATGATGAAACAGCATTTGCTGTGCAGTAATTAGGCAGTGCGTTACAGACTTTTAAATTTTCCACTAAATCTTTTCAGGCCTGCAGCTCTGAAGTTCCCTCGGAAGCTCCTTTCAAATCAGTATAGACTTGTGACCAGAATGACATTAAGAATAACACATTGATGGCCAAAGTGCGAAACAATGTACCTTTGTTTGAAACATTGCAGACTTCCTGAGATATTTTGTTTTTTCTTTAAAAAACTAGTCGAGTGAACTATTGAAACTACTAAACAAAGTGACCGAAAAGTTGTTAACATCAAGTTTATACACCCTGTAAATTGATGAATATTCCAATATTAACTAACGTTTGTCACCAGATTACACGCCTGAGGGTCAGTTTGACTTGCATTTCACTGCCCTTTGACCATAGAGTACATAGAGTCGTAATGTGAATGGGAGAGCTGGGACTATGTCCTGGACGACAAGTTCCACTCCAGTGTGCGGGTCACTTTTTCAATACATTTTCGATCCAAAATGGTGGTGTGGAATACGTAGTAATTCTTAGATTCTTTGTTTACATCGGATGGCCGGGTCCCCGTGTATTGCAAAGAATCGATTATGTTTCGAAAAAGCGTCCCGGCAATGCACAGGAGTCATCAAATTCGGGACCTGGAAAATATGCTTAAAATTGGTTCCAGTTCTCCCAATCACATTACGACTCTATGTACTCTATGCCCTTGACCAATTAAGGGTATTCATCAACCAATCAGAGCCTGACAGTCTGTTACAAGAGACTGTTGATGAGTTTTCCGCAAACTATAATTCACAACCAGCCAAGAGTGTGGGATGTAGACAAACATAATAAAAAGTTAAAAGTGTTTTGAACTGACTAATGTGTCACGACCATTTTAGTTTCAAGGAATTTTCTAGCATGTTTCAGAACGGATAGGTCCAAGAAATTGCTCTTTCTCTCATAAAAGAAAAAGATTGAATTCCATAATAAATTAATCGAATCAGAGACACCAGAGAGCTAATAATACCAAACCAGGAAACATTAACAGCCCGAAAACTTTGTAAATGGGGTGTGAAGTGCATTTACAAAATCATGAACTGTTCACAGAAATTAAATAGTGGGGAGTTTGGCAGGAATGACTAAGCCATGCCCATTTAATCACCTACGGAAAACAAAAATTTGTGCTGATGTCATATTTCAAAAACTGTTTACAGATTTTCTAACCTGTTGACCAATGAAAATTTGCTTAGTATCAAAGGGTAAAATTTGAAAGTCTTACGTACATCTAGTGGCAAAGTTGTGAATTCTTGTGCAGTGATACGCAAGTAGGATCGATCTGAAAGTTAGAAAAGACAAATTCAAAATTAGTGCTAAAATACATTCTACCCAGTGCTGGGAAGAGTCATTCACTTTTGTATTCGTTCCTGAGGAATCGATTCACTCCTAGTACTCGTTCAACACACTCGCTCATTAGGAATCAAAATCGAGAAACGGTTTCTATGAGCCGCTGGATTTAAGGAACAAGACCAACCTTGAAATGAGGTTGGTTATCAATGCGATTCTTGTTCATCTCATGATTCAGAATCAGAACGGAGTCATAACGATCATATTCGTTTTCCAAAGATTCGAAATCGGTGACTTGTCTCGCGCTAACGACATTTACTCATTCATGCAACAGTTAATGGCAATGATGCTAACTTACAATAATCCATGCAATTTCAATACCTTTCCATTCATGAACGACTAAAGTGAACAACTTGCATCTAGGTACCACAGTGGTGCCAGGCGCAAAATGATTCCTGATAAACTAGTTCGTTTTAGTGGGAATCGTCTAGGATACTCGTTCCTTTTGATTACTCGTTAATTTGAACAATTTGATTCATGGACGACCCAGTACTAATTCTACCATGATAAAACTAAGCTTCAATAAAATCACTGGCAAAAAGCCTGATAATTGCCTTAGAGATTGTTCTCTCGGCAAAACTACTACATATTGCGATGATTTCAGAAAGACATTAAAATAGGAAGGTATTTTGCTAATTTTAGGCAAATCTCTCTCATACAGCTTTACGTCATTGCCCTCCATTCCTACATGGAGAACAGCAAATTCAGAGAGCGCCTGAGAGTTGGTGTCACACTTTCAACTACCCCCTGCATTTAACAGTTACTCAATTGGTGTGGTGATGCAAGAAGTGTTATAAAACATTATCAGGAATAAATTTGAAAATTGTAAACACGACTCACGTTGTACAGCAGAATATGCGGCGTGGAACAACGATAAAATACCCATTGTGAGGAAAGTTCTGGGAAACATCGTGTGAGCTCAAATAGTAAGCGAATACAATGAGGAAGTTGAAGATCACAGTCAGCGAGTCAGCAAGTTTATTCACAGGGAACTTGATTGATGCAATTTTCCTTGACTTTATTCATAATAGAACGTCTCACCGACGATAAATTCTGCCTCAACTGACTGTCTTTTTGGAATGACTGATAAGAGATAAGCAGGATCATATACAACCAACCAACAACTGGATGCACTACTTAGGTTATGTTATGATTGTTGTTGTTGTCAGTCCTCTAGGGCTTTCCGTAGGGTTTCCGGTTTCTGGTATCCGATTTCCGGTAAAGTACCTGGTTTCCGGTAGAGTCGTTTCCGGCGTGTCCGTAATAAAGTGAAGACGCACGTTTTAATTTTGCGGGCTTTTTGCGTTGGAGCGAAGACCCTCACAATCGCCATTGTTGGTGGGGCTTTCCTTTTACGAAAATTTTTGGGTAGCAGAGTGACAAAAAGTAAGGATCAACTGGACCGCATTTAGCAAAAAGGAACCAGTGCGATTACAATGTTTTCAAAATCGTGCAATTTCTTCTTTCTTTTTGCAGTATCAAAATTTACACAATTATTTTCCTTTAAGATTAAAACAATCTTTTTTTTGTTAGGAAGCAAAAACCATATATTTGCTTTTCTTTTTAGATCGATATGAAAAAGCAATATTTTTTACTGTTGGGCTCTTATCAATAAAAAAAGAAACATATAGGTAAAACTCATCAGGATATTTTTTTTTTTTTTTTTTTTTTTTTTTTTTTTTTTTTTGGATAGCTTATCTTAAGTAATAATTTAGTGAAATTTTCCTCTCGTGGGCAGGGAGTTTCAGAGGAGAGAATTTTTTAATAAAAATATTAAAAATTAAATACAACATTTAAAACTAATATCAGACCAGGGATTGGAGCCCAGGACCTCTTGGCCACAAAGGTACTAAGCCGTCGCATCTTCAGGGGAGTTTTGGGCATAAAAACTGCAAGCACCTATCAGCTTGAACTGCTCATAAATACATACTGCATCGAAATCGTATGTAGCCATGCTGCCATCTTACCGAAGAGAGCAGTGAGGGTATTAAATGAAATTTTGAGAAAATACATAGCAATGTGTAAGCGTAGCTATTGTGTAGCAATGTGTAATGTGTAGCTTCTGAGCAGAAAATCTTATTGAATGAATCCTCCATTTTTTGTCAAAATAACAATAATCACCCATAAAGCTCAAATTGCTCACGATTAAAAATCAATGAATTTTAGATTCAACTGTATAAAAAAGGCTTTTATTTCCATTGCATGTTAGGCAAGACAGCAGTGAGTGTTATATGTTCTTCATGCTTCCATGGTAATGTTTTGGACACATAACGGCCAAATTTTATTGTAAGAAATTGGCGGAAAAGGGTACATCTTACTCAAGACAGCAGTAGTCCTCTTGCGAAATAATGAGCTTTCAAATTGCTCTTTTGTCTGGGGCCACATCAATTATTGAACTTTTACTGCTTTCCTCGTAGATCTTGGTTGCATATGAACCAGACAAATTCTGCTGTTCTAGCTGAATTAGTCAGTATGTTTAAACTAGATTAAAAGAATTTTAAACGAAACTTGATTTCGAAAATGTGGGTGTTACACTGATCTCTTCGGTAACTTAAGAGCTTTTCTGAGCCTTCCCTCTTTGGCTAAATCATAGTGAAAGAGTCATTATTTTTACTATCAGAGTCATAGAATGCCTCCCTTCACTGAACTATTGAAACTACTTATACTTTCGAAATTTGTTAAAATTTTGCTCGAAAAAAGAAATTTTATTCAATTTTGTCAGCACAATGAAATTGCAGCTCACTAAAATCGCTGAAGACATTTAAGGGCCGTCTCTAATTAACATCAAGCTCCAAGGGTGGTGGTGGGGGGGGGGTTAAGTAAGGAGCAAAGCATTATATAACGAGTTTCAGTAGAATTTTTTGTCGGTTGTCTTTAGAAGTTTTAACAATCTCAAAAATATTCTCTGCAATACATTTACTTTTTCTCACTGAATAGAAACGCCAATCCGTCTAGTAAATGTAAGGAGATATTTTGATTGTTATTTATCAAAATGGGGGGGGGGGGGTCCGGAGCAAGCATTACATAATTTTTTTGGGAAGGGTCTAGCACAGTGTTACAAAGGGGGGGGGGGGGAAATTTTTAGGGGGGTCTAGCACAACGTTACGGAGCGTTACAGGGGGTGAAAAACCACAAATTTAGCGTTTCATAATTTAGAGGCGGCTCCTTATTTATGTAATATTGCGCACTATATTCAGCTATACAGTGAAGTAGGAAGTCACAAATAGTTACTTAACCTTTGCCTACCATTCAATGACTTTGTATGATAAAAGTAAAATACGTAAATGGCAAAACATCAGTCCTATCAATGAACAGTAAGTTCTATGCTCACTCCTCCAGAGTTCAACGAGATTTTGCAATTATGCATTGGCCTGAGGGGTAAAAAGCTGCCATTCCAAAATTTCAATTTCAATTTGAACCATATGCAACTTAGCTAGAAGAAACCATGCAATTTTTTGCTCAGATTTGAACTCTACCGATAGTGACAACCACATGCATTTTTTTTCTTGATTGAGTAATAGCTCAAGGTGGACTATATTACTTTACTGTGATCAAAAGATTCACACTGGATGATTAGAGAATTAAAACTCGAAGAACAGTTATTAAAGGTTTATTGAGATGTCCTTGGATTTCCATACACAAGACTTAAAAATCAATGGTATGCTACAGATACAAAATTATAAATTGTATTTAGCAGCTGCTTCATGCAGTTCAATTGCAAATTGATACTAGGTACATATCTTCTGGAAATCGATGGGGAGGGAACTATACTGCCAATGGCTAATTGGACAGATCTTTTTTACTTTTACTCAGCAAATGGGATGACTAAATGAGGTGACCTTTCCACTTGAGTTTGGAAGGTAATTGAAATACCTAGGGCCTGTTGGAGGGAGACTTCTCCGCTTAAGACTTCTCTAACAGAGCAGCAGGACATGGAGGGGGGATACCTGCCTTGATTCACAAAGCAGCTTTGGAGTTGTTACCCTGACCGTGTTTGATAGGTATGAGGGCTAGGCTAAAGCTTGTTAAAGAGAACAAGCCAATAATGCAGTGTTGTTTGATTTTGAGTACTCCACAAGCTTGTACAGGTATGATGAAGTATACAAGACTGAGTTCACGATGCAACACTGGCACCTTCGGCCGAAGGAAGGAAGGGAACTAATAGATATATGGCTATCGGCTTTTTGTCTTAATGGACTCTCTACGTTTCTACCCGGAATGCTTGAAATCTTGTTTCAATATTACTTTTTAAAGATTCCTCAAGCGTAATGAAAACAGGAGAGACAAATGACACAACACCTCTTTCCATACCGTCTTACTCATTAGTTCAGCACCTAGTCTTAATTTATGATAAACTCGGTCCAATTGATAGTCAGCGAAAGATAAGGCCAGAATCAACTGACATACTTGCAAACTATACAGAGAAAGAACGAATTTAATCAAAATTTACAATTTTTGGGCCATCTAGGAAATGGTATTGCATCTTTGATGTTTGAAACGCCAAGGGCCATTTGCAGAAAACGCTCAAAGCCTAAACCAAAACCTCCTGAGGGTACATTACCATATTTTCTGATATCTAAATACCAATCAAGACTCTCTGTTAGATTCAATTTTTGCATTCTTTCTTCAAGTATTGAGCAATCGTCTTCTCTTAAACTACCTCCGCAAAGTTCACCAACCACTGGGCACAATAAATCCACAGCCAAAACCTGAAACATTAAACCAAAAAATAATAGTTTAAAGGGTTGGGGGGGGGGGAGGTAGAGCCAATGGTCTAAAATAGAAGGTGAAGATGACTTCCTTTCAGAGAGACAGCAGTTTGTCAATCTAATCATAAAACCCAATGTACATTATACATTATTTTTTTTCTTAACTCATACTTAAAAAGAATAAAATTTTAAATTTATAATTTTCATCAGTCAGAAGAGATAGAGGCCTGATGTTGAATGTGATGACCGATTAAAAGAATGAACAAGCGATAAAACATTACTAAACCACTTATACATTTTTGTTGCTAAAAAAAGTAAAGTGCTAATTGGCACATTTGCACATTGTTTCAAAGACAAACAGGCATCTTGATTTTTAGAAACCTGTGCAATATCATTTTACTTGAGTAAAAAATGTATCTATTTTACTAAATACTTTTACTTGAAATATAATGGGTGACCTGATTTGGCTGTCTGGATTTGCTTACCTTTTCTGGAGAGTGGGTCGAGGCTTTCATATAAAATGGTTTCATGTGTGCAGGCCATTCCACGATGAAAACAGGAACATTGTTGTTTAATTTAACCAAAAACAATTCATGCTCTTTTGTGAATCCTTCTTTTTCAAGCAAAGGTTCTTGGAATTGTCCACTATGATCTCGCAGTATTTGTTTGGCTTCATCGAATGTTAAGACTTGAAACGGTTTACTGATGATGTTTTCTACATCAGTATAATCAGCACAGTTTACCATTTTGCGATAATGTTCAATTTCTTCTCTATGATTTTCAAACACAGTGCTGAGAACTGACTTCAGCAATTTTTCCATGATTTCAAGCAATTCATTCATGGAGTCTAGGAATGCTTTTTCTACTTCTAACATGTAAAATTCAGAGAGATGTAGCCGAGATTTAGAATTTTCTGCTCGAAAAATAGGCCCAAAACTGTAAACGTTACTCAAACTCCTGAAAAGAAATGAAATTTCGTATTATGTATCTCATTGGAAACTTTAAAAAGGTATGGCAAGAGATTTACAAAAATATTCTCTCATGAGAACTGCATGAATAGGTACTTTTCCGTTGGAACTCTCCTAGACTAGTTCCAGGAGGCTAGAAAATGATTTGTTCCATCTAATTAAATTAACACGAAGCAAAGGCAAAGAATTCAGCAAGAAAGGACACAATCTCCTTTTAAGAAAGAATTAGGGTTGTTATTTCAGATGGATTACAATGATTCTTGGTTCTTCAAGTTTGGCAAATAAAAGCTCCTTGCGTTTCATTTTGAATTACATATATGTGCGACAAACTCATCTGGTACAGACCTTGCCATTATTTCTAGTTGAAGCTGTCCTGAGACTGACAAATAGGCCTTCCTTTTGAAAAACACTTCATCTTCAGATTGTCCAGGAGAGGCCATTGCCTCTAGTGTCGCTTTGCAGTTAGGTTTGACAAAAAATGTTTCTCCAGCACCTTCACAATCATTGGATGTTAGTACAGGTGTGTGAACTTCGATGTATCCATTCATATTCAAATACTGCCGCAGAGTCCAGGAGGCATGATGCCGTAAACGCAGGAGAGAGCTGAAAGAGTTTGTCCGTGGCCGTAGATGTAGATATTGCCTTACGTATTCTGCATCATAGGATTTCCTAGGAAGAAATGGGTACCTGAAAAACGAAGACCATGTGATAAATTTTGAAAAATTGTAAATGATCTAATTTTATACAGAGATTCAAATCTGATGCTTTGAAATGGGAGAACTAAGTTTTTACAGCAGGATGGAAGCAAATAAATGGGCAACAGTTATGGGATTTTTAACCTTGTGAGCATTTCTGGTTAAGGTGATTCTAAGTGATCTAGAGGATCACTGTGCCACTGTGTTGCGCTGCTGCGCAATCTAGGTATGTCTTTGAGAAGCAGTAATTATCACTATTGATTATTAGTTAAGTATATATTAGCAGGAATGCATAATTTAATGCAAGCAATTAATCCAGAACGTGTAGTAGCACTAATACTGAGTAGTATGACTTCGAATTTGTAAGGATTAATTGGAAATTTATATCGAAAACAATACCATCACAGGCGTCATTGACTTGATATATTAGAGAGAAAGCGTTAAAGTATCCTTCTTGCACATTGAGTCAATGCACAGTGTCCGCTGTGGTACTTTCCAAAATAAACTTTCAATGAAGTAACTATATTCAAGGATTTTTACACCCCCTCAATTCTACTGAACAATACACATAGCAGCTCAAGGTACATACATGGTAGGAGCACTACATTTTTACGGCTTGTTAAAATAGCATCATATCCACCTTTATATTCGATCCAATAACACATGCAAAACCATGTCTAGTGTGACATCTGTAACAGTATTTGCACAGGCTCACTGTACCTAGGGCTTACAGGCTCCCTGCACAGGCTCACAGTCCACTGTCCACATGGAGGATTTTCATTCTACGCCAATTGAGCTGCTCTATTTTCCAAGCTTCTACCCAACTCTCTCAACAGTCTTACACATTCCCTGCCCCACCCTGACAGCCGTTTAACAACATTTTTTTGTTGTACTGTAGCAGACGATTTGCTTTCAATTTTTTGAGGCCCTAGCAAGTTATACTCTACTCGTGACTTCTAGTGTTTCAGATGCTCCACACACTCCATTTTTTGAAGGCCCAGTTCTATCATATCTTGTTTTAAATCCCTCCTCTAGTCATAAGACATATCGACGGTGTAAGTCGGCAATCACATAACTCGGTTTGCGACGTCGCAGACTTCCTGTCATACTTTATTTTTTAAATGGAAAACTACTCAACGGCCATTCTTTAAAACTGTCATGATTTTTCTACTCAATGCAAAGAAAATTCTGCAAAAACTTCAAGAAATAATGTCAATTTGTTCTCCTTTAAAAAAATGACGTAGAGGCGGAGATTTTCAGACACCGCAAACGAGTTATGTGATTGCCGACTTTCACCGTCGATATGAGTCACTACCAATGCTGATTTTCTTTCAACAGTGCTTCTCACTTATCTACATTTTTTAAGATTGCTAAAAAATAGATTGAAAATAAAAACATACCCATTAGTCAAGTCACATGATCCTACCACACTAAGTTCTTCTGCTCTTAATTCAAGCTGATTTTGGGGATTGAGGATTACTGGCCCACAAGCAACTATTGAACAGCCATACGATAAATTCTTTGGTACAGTTGTTTTCGATGCAACGATTTGTAATTTATGACAGGTAGAGCCATCATTTACATCCAGGAAAATCATTCCTTTCATTTTCCGGACAGATTTCACCCATCCCTGCAACATAGAGTCTTAAATTCAAACATATTTTTAATCTTGGCAAAGTCATTTTGCTGTAAGTAATTGAGGCTTGGTAAGAAATTTTGATAAGTCATGATATGAGTAGTGAGGGGCCAGTGGCATGCAGTCCGACTAAGCAAGGCAAGCACTGCTTGATCTAGGGTCAGAGGAAAGAGGAAGTCATACCCATGACATGTTTTGAATTTTAGCTGGAAATGATTGATAACAAGGTTTTAAGTAAGTAAATTGCATTAGAAACAGATGGAGAGGGATGGAACCCTCAGCATGTGACAGCGACTGCAGTCACCTCAGTCTCCATACAGACAGGGCCGGATTTAGCTTTTTGCCGCCCCTGGGTCTACAATATTTCGCTACTACATTGTCAACAGTATCCCCCCCCTCCCTGCACTCCCAACTTCCCACGCCATCAGTCTCATCTTGCCCCCCCCCCCTCGTGCGCCGCGTGGGCGCGTAGCTGCTTCAAAATGCGCCACGAATATATGGAATGGAATGGATGGATGAGGCAAAAATACGATGTGGAACAAAGTTGAAGCTAGTGTAGCTCAATTACTTACAATGTATTTTCGGAAGATCAGGTTAAAAAGTTTTTCCCCGGGTTTTCAGTTTAGCAAAGCTGTCAACTAGAGCATCGACGTCTAAATTGACTGTCAAGTCTGCCTCGATGTTAAAAATTGCCGTGCTGTTTAGTTTCCCTAGGGATCACTCCAACGAACGATCATCGTAGCGCTCGAGGCCGGACCTAGAGGGCGACAGCTTTGCTGCTCCCGTCAACTCCCTTCCTTCATACATTTTGCCGCTTATCTTTTCACTTCGCTCCGTCTCCATTTTTTTCTTTTTTCTCGCTTTAACTTTCAATTAACCCAGTGCCAAAATTTGCCCAACGCCAAAATTTGCCGCCCCTCAAAATTTGCCGCTGTGGGCATGTGCCCCAGTGCCCTATAGGTAAATCCGGCCCTGCATACAGAGGTGTACAAACAGCGCCCACCAAATAAGGTTACACACTTTTAGCCAGCAAAAGAAAATTGTACAACATCATTTTAGCATGTGGAGATTATGCAAGAATCAAGATGGCGGGTCTTCTGTCTGATTCTAAAAGTGCGTAGTCTTACTCAGTGTGGACTATAACCAAAATCACAGTCATAACTTGAGAAAATTAAAGTTACCGGCTGTACTAAAATTACAATCCACAAAAACCATGGAGCTCCAGTATCGCTGCGCTAAGTTAGTGAATGAATAATTGAAGGGTCGTACCTTTATAACTGCTGGAGTGTTGGATGGTGGTGCAGAGAAAATTTCTGAAATTTTTGAATGGATTGATTTGAACCGACATCGAGTTTGATTACACCAAGAGTTCAAAACTGAGATATGTTTCACACTATTCCCGAAGAATGCCATTCTCATAAAACTGGAATGGTGGCAATCAATCAAAAATAATTTAACTTGATTTACTGGTAGTGTTTAAAATTCTTCCTGAGTGATGAACATTGTGCACAGGGCATAATTAAAAAAGTGTTACTCTTATCAGATTATCACAGCACATCACATGGCCATGTTTTGTTATTGATGAAGTTTCAGTTATCTTCCACAAGAGAGCAGCAGATTCTTCTTGTGGCTGGAAGATGATTGATGGATAAATCTATGACGGAAGCTTGAGCTAGGCCAATCAGCAAACGCCGTTTTCCCCGTTTGGCTACGTCATCAGAGCCCGCCAAAAATATCGTTTCAAACTGATCCCATTCCCATTTTTGGCATTTTCCAAACGGCATTTTTTTCTCCCTTTGACATACTTACGATCTAAAAAAAATCCTTAAAGCTGAGTTCACTCCGTACTTTCAAACCATGAATAAAGAAGAAAAAAAAAATGAGGGCCACGGACCCGAAAGCAGCCAGTATAGGTGGGTGAATTCAAATAAGGGTCAAATTCCAGGTTCTATTTCCTCCCAAAATTTTTTTCTGAATTTTAGGGCAAACCAAACTTTATTTTGACTATCATTAGGTGTAGACTTAGGAAATATAGCTCGTCGAGCTTAATAGTTGCATAGAGAAAAAAAAGGAGGTGTTTGCATTTCGGGCATCTTGGAATTTTTCATAGAGTATCTATAGCTTTGATGACGTCATTGGGTACAGCGACGTTTTTATCCTGTCGATTTTCTTGGAAATGGTGTAATTTAAGGGAAAAAGTCATTCTATAAAAAGTGCTTGAAATTAAATAAAGAGTTGACTTAAGTAAAAAAATCGGACATTATGGTCCGTTTTTACAGCGTCAACATAACCCTCAACGAGCGTCTTGTTTACATTGATGACGTAGGTGGGTACAAATCCTCAAGATGCAAACCATTGCAAACACCTCCTTTTTTTTCTCTATGTAATAGTTGGGCTTAAACCCGAATTTCCAGCGTCAAGTGTATCACTTCCCAAAATTTGCCGTAATTTTGCCTGATTACCTAAATTTTCATCTCAGAGGTGACATATAATACTTTTAATTAAAAATTGAACACAATTGTCATAAAAGCATCGTCGAGCACTAAATTAAAGCATAATTGAAAACATGTAGGTAACCCTTTCCTATCTTGCAGAACCAAAAAAATTAAGAAAAAATTCATCCGTCATGAAATAAGATATCTGGAGCTTATTCTGCTCGTCTTTTAGACAGTTCCGTCTGTTTATCAAAATGCGCACTGTTTTCGTTTCACACAAGAAGAAGCTTTTATTTCTTGGAATATTGCGGTACAAAATAGATCAAAAACACCGAATTTTAAAACTTCGAGTGGGCGTGTACCCGCTGAAGTGGTGATAAAGCCAGGAAAAGTTTGAGGACTTACATTAATATAACCATTACACCGGTCAACTTTTTTTTTTATTTTTGATTTTCCGAAGATTTGCCAATGGTTTCAGAGTAGATTTTTGGCGCTGATTCTGAAGAACACCTCCATTTACCTGTATCGATGCGATTTATCCTGGGAAAGTTCGGAATTTTTCCGGAGAAATCGGAATTTTCCTTAAAAATCTTGCTTTTCCAGAAGAGTCAATTTTCCGGGAGAATCTGTGCACGATGGAAAAAACACAGGAATTTTTCGATTTCGTGGCCTAAGATACATAAGAAACCCTATTGCACCCCTATTTAAATTTCCTTTCTTTTCCTTATACCATGGTTTTCCGGTCCAGTTTTATTAAAATCAATTAATTAGTCACCGAGATAGTGTTTTAAGCCACGGCCACCCTCTTAGATTTTCGAATCTCGGAAATTTGACTAAAATTCGAGTTCCCCACTCAAAAATACCCGCGGCGCATGAGTACCAAGTTTCGCGTGAATCGATTAGGCTCTGAGATAGCATTTTAGGCCATGTCCGCCATCTTGGATTTTTGAATTTTAAAAATTTGACTAAAAATTTAAGTTCCCCATTGAAAAGTACCCCCAGGTACCAAGTTTCGCTTTAATCGACTGATTAGGTGCTGAGATAGCATTTTAGGCCACGTCCGCCATCTTGGATTTTCGAATTTTGAAAATTCGACTAAAAATTCGAGTTCCCCATTGAAAAATACCCCCGGGTACCAAGTTTCACTTAAATCGGTAGAAAAGAGCGCCTACAGGGCTTAAACAAGCAAGTCTCAGTTGTAACAGTTTTCCACTCTGTCCCACTAAACTGGGACATGGGACAGGATGGAAACATATGGGACAGGATGGAACGGGACAAGATGGAACAGGACAGGATGGAACGGGACAGGATGGAATAAGCTGTTTTTTAAGCTTATCTCTAACAGTAAAGAAAATTTTGGGGATTTTTTTCACGGAATATTTAGTGGCACGTCCTAGAGGATCGGAATAAGAGAAAATTTTCCCTAACGCACACTTCGAAAGTATTTTACGAGCTGATATTAGTGTGTGTGTGTATGCTTGACGCCCTGTTAGTTATCGTGTATAGCATTCTGTTTGGCATCATTAATGGCGTTAATCTTGCACAAAAGTTTGCGAATTTCAGAATTTTTGCCATCCACGACGTGTGAACTATTCAATCAAAACAAAAAAAAGTCGTTTTTGGAAAAACCTCAACGTTACGGCAATCATTTAGAGCTTATTACATCCTTGCCATGTCTCTCCTGACAGTTGCTGACTGTTGCTCGGGACAATGATTCTAACGCGTGAAAAAGTTATTGATGGAGCAAAAAATAAATTGACATATTTTTTTTCTCAAATTCAAAAGCATTACCTATCATCTCCGATAAAGTTTTCTTAAATAATCACTCTAGTTATGCTGCAACATCGATTTAAAGTCAAGAAACCAGGCACGGGGGACACGCAAATTTGGGACAAATGTAGGCAATTTGCACATTCAAAGTTCTCCTAAATTTTTATTTCAGTCCAAATAAAGTGGGAAATAGCATGTAATAGTCAACAATAGCGTGGAAAATGAGAAAAAAATTTGATCTGCCCATGTTTCTCAGATTATGACGATTAAAACAGCTCGGGACACCAAATTAGACGCTTATTTGAACTCACCCAGGTAACCGTAATAGTGCTGCATCTCAGTGTTATCTATATTGCCTACCTACTAATTGAAGGAACACCATCTTCTTGTTCATTTAAAATCGAAACGATATAAAAATATTACAGTTCAATAGCAAAAAATTGCAAGTTAGTAGCGATTATTGTAGCTATTTAAATAATTTTTTTTTGTACTGTTGTGCTACTGGGTTATGCGAACTTTTGCTGCATTAAAGTACTTTTAAAAATTAGTGGGATTCTGCTCACACACATTTTGCTCCTATTCATCACATTACTTTGTAATACTCAGATACCTACCCAAAAATTTAATCACGGGCCAAGAGATTTTAGTTACCTTCATCAGAAACCACCCTGGTTTCTTTTTGGGTAAGTACCTAAGTAGTTATTTAGGAGAAAAAATTGATTTTATTTTTTTTTTTTAACTTTAATGAAAAAGTAATGGGTTTTAATGAACACAGTATTATTAATTCCAAACTTCAGAGGAATGCTCCTCATAGGAGCAAAGCAAGCTGTGAATATAAGGGCATGAGGAATTCATCAGTAAAATAATATGAGTTACCATGTGGTCTTTACTTGTTTGCTTTAAAAAAAAAAAAAAAAAAGTCCAAAGCGAGTTCCAATTTTGTTCTTCCGGTGATCAACTGTAGATAACTTTCCAATCACTCCACCGTTTGACCAATGTAAAAATCTCGAAAAAATCTTCATATATATCGAACGCAGTTGGTGTTTTGCAGTGTTTAAATGGGGATTTTTATGACTATCAAGTGATATTTTGTATGTGTGAGTGCGTTTCCATATGACCCTTCAGCACATGTATCGGTAAGCCTAGGTATTATTGGTAGGTCTAGAATTGAACGTCCATTCAATTAGACCTAGGTACCAATTCCTTTCCAACAAAATACAACGACTGTTGTAATTTGTTGGAAAGGATTGTATTTTGTTACAGAATGAAGTAATGAAATTTGGTTAAAATTGGTACCCTTTTATTTTTAAGGCGTTGCACATTTTAGCTGTTCCTGTTATTGTGAAATCACCCATGACTACTAACAGGATTGCATTTTGCAAACAGTAACCAAGAGCTTTCCAGTGTCCCTAAAAAGATTGTGCAACTTTCTTTGCCTTGCAAATATAAACTGAGCATCTAAACAAGTTTTATCTATACTCTAAATAAACTAAAAATTCAAAATGAATATGACCTTGGTAAATTTGATTATATATATTATTTCAGTAATTATAATGCAGAGTATGCAAGTTGCAAAATCCTGGCAACATTGGAATGCACTTAGTTCCTTTTTGCAAAATGCAATGAGCATGATAAATTTACATATTTTGCAGGATGATTTGAAGCTGCCAAGTTCTGTGAACTGTGCTGCCTGTAAAAAATAAAATAAGACTCTATCCGATGCCTCTTAAAAATAACAACAGCATATTTAGATGAGAAAGGGAAAAAAATGAAAAGAGAAAAAAACAGGAATTGATTTTTTAATTCTATTGAGATTAACGATAACAAAAAGTGAGACATCAGATAAATTTCAATTCAGATATTTCAAAGTCTGTGCCAAATTAAAGTTATGCAATTCAGCTGAATACTAAAACAGAGAAGAGGACTGAATTTAAATGCACAGATAGGGTGGTTCAGCAATACAGCATAAATTTCAATGAAGGGAGTCCTTACTTCTGCTGCGAACATGTTGATGGGGAGACTATACAAAAGCAACTCAAGTGCTTAAAGTTAAGCTAGTAAAATACCTAAGGCATATTCGCATACTGGTACAAAGTGTAAAACGACCAAACATTCCCTCCTAAGACCGCGCAAGCTGTAAGTCTGTATAGAATATTATCCCAGAAGCCCATTTTAAGGAAGGTTGGGACACCATCATCTAGTTGGAAAATTTCACGCCTTCTTTCGATTTCATCCCAGCCTGAGAACAACAATAAAACAAGGAGATTATTTTTCAAATACATAAGTGAGAAAGGGTGGGATTTTAAAAGTCTTGGATGTAACTTTTTTTCCACCATACAGTTCAAGCTCAAAAAGAAACAATAAGGGTAGATTATTCTGCTTCGTGGAATGTTTAAAAAGATAGGTATTTCTTACTATCATGATCGTCATGATCTTGTCATCTTGTAAAACTGGTAGATTTTTTAACCTACCAACTACAGTTGAAATAATATTTCTTAGCGTTTTAATAAATTGGAAAGAGATGTTAAAAAACCACTGTTCCCTGAGAAACTAGGGACCATTAGATACAGTGGAAAATTCAACACCTTAGTACATGTTTTTTCAGGGAAAGGCCTGTATAAGTGGAAAGGTAAGAGAGGGGAGTAAAAATCCTCTCAGCTTCCTTTTTTAAATACTTTCTCAATTTCTCACTGTACTTGAAAAATATGCTTCAGAGTTGGTGGGACAAGGTTTCATTGAGAATTGAAAGCAGGTAATTTGATTGAGATGTTTTGAAATATTACCATGTTTTGTTTTTGTTTTTTTTCTTTTTTTTTATGAAAGAAAGAAATCTAAAATGTTATGAACGGAGATACGCATTTCTTAGGTTCTGTCATGAATAAGGAATCTAGGTTTCAGTGACAAAGATTTGTGATAATAGAACCTCAAAGGCATTATGTCCTCCATGACTTTGAAATGCAAGTTATATCAGGAGAGTGGATTCTATAAAGATACTTTTGTCTCTATTTTAGGGAGTTTCTACTTATTTCTGGTTCAAATTAGATTTTCATTACAAACATAAGTATGCAAGAAGTGTGCGCATACCATTTCATTGCATGAGAGTGACTATATCACTCCCAGCAGGTACCAGGTGTTTGTTCCAGGATTCTCTTATTCCCTTACAAAGAGAAGATATCTGGTGGAGGACAAAAGTGAATAAGCTACCTTTATTTTGATAAAATTTAGTCAGCACTGTGAGGTATCAGTGAATTATAGATATCTTGGCAATCTGAGAGACACACAATTCTCCCATCTAATTTAAACTGATGATGAAGCTAATTTGAAATTGTACTTTGAGGTAAAATGAGAAAAAATAGATGGAAAAAGAGGGTACATATTTAGTTTTTTCCACATGATGATTTGAACAATCTATCAGTGAAATTGTAATTTTAAAGTCATAAAGGACCGAATATGTGTTAGCAGAGGACTCTGTTATCTCTTTGAATTTAAAAGGTATTACCTTTAGGCATTTTTGGTTTGGGTCTTGTCAGAAGGTGAGGGCCAATTTCAAAATCAATGTTGTGACTAAGACGAACTGGCTGCATTGTTCGCATGGCTTGAAAAGCTCTAGAAGCTAAGATTTTGCTCATCGTGATTTTTGCTGCGGGGAAAAAGAGAGTAAAATACTGATTACGGCAGAAGACACTTACATGTTTAAAAGTAAATAATTGATTAAAATACAAGACTTCAAGCAGACAATCTAGATCCTTTTATTGGCTAAGTACTTACTTAGCTATCTTGTAGAAATGTAGACAAATGAAAACTAACTGCAAGCAACCCTTTCTGAGGATTTGCCTAAATTTGGGCTAAAAATTTTTTTTTGTTAGATCCAAAACTCACAAAATGCATACAAGAACAAATATTGAGGGTACCAAGTGGACATATTTCTGCCAAACGGAACTATGTATATTAAGACATGAGCCCTGAGACCTATAAGAAGTTATGCATTGTACGGCTTAAGACATTATGCACATAGTTCTGTTTGGCAGAAATATGTACAAATGAAGAGGCAGGACCACCATTTTACCCCTGTGCTCTAATAGAAGATCAATGCGACAATAATTGAAACTCGAGTCTACCTCTATGATCATATGCTCATATGATCAAACCATAGTGAGTTAATTTCTGAAGTTGTTTTGAATTTAGGGATGTAATGGATGAAGGTAGGGATGCAAATTGTTTTTGACTGTGTGGTCGAGACTAAATTGCAGAGGTGCCCTAAAAGTTGTGGACGCTGAGAGTTTGTTTTCTCCTGAGGGTTTTATGCTTTTCAACTTTTGAGAATTAATATAACTTTAGCACACCTCCGAAAATAATAAAACATTTCGATAAAATCCTGCTCAGAGCCTAGTGATGACCTTTTTGCTAAAATCCAGCTTAATGCAGAAAATTACTGAGGAGGCCAACTATCTGCACCCCTAAATGAAGGTGAGTGACTTCCTTGAGAGGCTTGGGATATTTGTCATTTTGAGTGAAACTAGAATCGAATTATGCATATGAAAAAGGGTAATCAATGGCGCTCAGTTTTTCACCTCTAAGAATGAATCGAAAGTTAAATCAATACCTACTGCGTTATATTTCAGTTTTAAATGCATTTTTGTCAAGTCTACAAAAATATCACTTGACTCCTACATTCTGAAACTTCATGGAGAATATCTAACTGAACATCTTGATTCAGTTTCAGCATAAGATTAACAATCCTCAGTTTCGGCATAAGATTAACAATCTATCAGCTTGCTTATCAGTATTGAAACTGAATGGAAAAATCAAGCTGGCAGTTCTTTAATCTCACTTTAAAAGTTAATGTGTGCAACTGTGCTGTTTCTAGTAAGTGATGTTTACTTAAGAGGTAAGGATTACTGATTGTAGGTTTAAGAATTCAATTGGAAACAGGTAGCTGTTCATGGCTTAGATTCACTTGAACGATTTCCATCCTTGTATAAGCTATGATAGCCACCAACATGAGAAGCTTTACCTGTGAAGGGTAAGCTTTTTTTGAAACTCCGTGGAAACTAAAAGAAACTCAGGAGGAGGCAGTTGATATCTGTCTTTTTTTGCCTAATAAAGAATTGAATTGAATTGATAACCTCACTTTTGATTTTGCTGAACCAGATTCAACTGAGCTGAAAACTAGTTAGACAAAATGAATATCCCCACTTCGAAGAACATCATGCACCAGAATTGGGGTGCATTTACTTTAGCACAAAAATTGTAGAAGTCATTGATGAACTGGAATTAATCAGCACATGCTTTTCAATTGCTGTCATGCGTGAAGGCATTTGGATGGTTAAACTGCAAAATTGGGTGTCTCAGTTTGCGGTATTGCAGCCGGTCTTCGAAACTCACAGGTTAGAACGCGCCTAAGAAGTCGGTCATGGTGCCTAAAAGTGATGGCTCCGCGCCAACATGGCCCCTAAAAATTGCTCCTCCCCCCAAAAAAAATCCTAATTTTTCTGTTTTGCGATTATCGGAGCTTTTCTCTTCCCCAAGCTGCAGCTACAAGTTCTGTTAATAAAACATTTTGAGTCAAACTTTTCCCTAAATTCGTTAAGATATAAAGGAAAAGAGTCAGTTAGGCCCCCAAAAATTCGAGCTTGATGGGTAACATGGATCCTGAAACTCAAAGGTGAGCTTCTAACACTGAATGCAGACTTCTTGTCATACTGTATTTTCTTCTTGGAAAACTACAGAGCATTGTTTTTTTTTTAAAATTTACGTGATTCTTCTTCTCTTAACAAAGAATATTCTATGACAACTTCGAGCCATGATGTTGGTTTGGTCTCCTTTTAATAAAAAAAATTAGCGGAGGTCTCAGAGCACCGCAACCAAGATATGCATTCCTGCGGTTTCACCGTAGGTATGTGCTTTCAATGCCATACGCTCCATGGACAGTAGCTTCGTGCAGTCTATAGTCTGCATTCGCAATCAAAACTAAAATACTATGAAGATTGTCAGATAAGATTTTTATCTCCGAAAAAATCGTCTGAATGTCCTAACCTAAGATGACCAAATGACCTTGCTAATGATGCAAGGAATGAAATAGAATTGTCAATAGAAGTATTTGACCGTTGACCGTAACTGAATAAATATAAAGGATAGTTATTTGAGAGATAGACTTACCTTACACTCTGGTGAAGCTTTAAAATGTAAATTATTACTTCAATGACTTTGGCCTGCAGGCCAGAATATTCTATCACTATCTATCTATAATCAATAAATAACCGTGTAACAATCACCAATCACCAGTCACCACACCAAGACCAAGACCCATAAGAGAAAAAAAAGGAGGTGTTTGCATTTCGGGCATCTTGGAATTTTTCATAGAGTATCTATAGCTTTGATGACGTCATTGGGTACAGCGACGTTTTTATCCTGTCGATTTTCTTGGAAATGGTCTAATTTAAGGGAAAAAGTCATTCTATAAAAAGTGCTTGAAATTATATAAAGAGTTGATTTAAGTAAAAAAATCGGACATTATGGTCAGTTTTTACAGCGTCAACATAACCCTCAACGAGCGTCTTGTTTACATTGATGACGTAGGTGGGTACAAATCCTCAAGATGCAAACACCTCCTTTTTTTTCTCTATGCCATACCTGTGTAAATCTACCTTGCACCAAGACGGAAGACGGAAGACGAAATTGTTAGTTTTGTTAGTTGGTGTTGCGAAAACCAATTTCGGCGCCATGTTGATGACGTAAGAAGGACCTCGAGTAGCGCGAAGTTTGAATTGACGCGTCTGGTGCGGGTTGCGCGCAAGCAGACTGATTCTAGTAATATCAATCTTTTATGCACACATTATTTATTGTAACAGAATATGAAAATACATATTAATTGAATACATTTGAAACATTTTTTGGGATGTGTTTTATTATTATCACGATATTTTAAATCGCTTCTTTTCTCCAAAGCCCCTTTACGGGGGGCCGTGGTCTCTGGTGTGGTCCCCATAATTTTGGGTCAACAGGAGTCATGTGGCACATGATGACGAGGACGAGATGAAAAGGAGAAAACCTTGGTGCGGCGGTCGGCATGTAAGGCCTTGTCTCCACGGGACGTTTTCATGGGATTTGTCCAAAGTTCGAATCGCAGGAATGAAACTTCTGGGATTTTTCCGAGTTATACCGTCTCCACGGGACGGGGCTCATACAGTCCTGCGACTAGTTTGCGCGAGAAGATAAATTACTTAAAGTCGAGTATTTTACCGGGATTAAAATAATACTTACACTCAATTGACAATCAGACATATTATTTTAACTAAACAAACATTAACAATGCAGTAATGAATAAAATTTTGCACAATTCGTTTACACTTCTTCTTCCTCTCTTAATAGTGGGTCCTAGGGGTACAAGGACCATACTTGGTACTGGGAAAAGTAGGTATTGATTCAATCAATATTTTTCCCAACTTCGTAAGTGGGATTTTTCCCAGGGACAAATCCCGTAAAACATCCTGTGGAAACAAGGCCTAACACATATCAGCGCCTACAAGACTGCATGAATACTTCACGCATTGCGTCAAACACAGTGCGGTCAGCAGCGGTTGGCGTGAAACGCATGGCACCTACAAAGACTGTGGGAATACTTCACGCATTGCGCCAAACCCATTGCGGTCAGCGCGGCGCGGCGGCGGAGGTTAAAATTATTAAATAACATTTATGTCTGTTCTTTCATAATTTTTTCGTTCATTTCTTTATAAGGAAGCGGCCTCGTCCAGACAGAGATAGGTATACGGAACTTAACTTTTACGCAAAGTTCTGTGAACTTTGGCCAGTAGTGTTGACAGGGTTTTCGCAATAGGTAATAATGTTTCCAACAAGAAGGAACGCGTCTAATGCACCCCTCTCCCTTCGGCACGTTCACTTAATGGTTTTTATTGATAGTTCAAAACGAATGATAAGGACGGGGGCGGTAAAATACAGGCGGCCCACGGGCGGCAAGTCGGTAAATCCGGCCCTGGTGGCACCATCGTGTTTCTTGCGAACTTTTACATATGAATCGACAGTCAAATCACAAATTCATCACACATCATGCAACATCTCCATTTTGACGCCGAGACAGTCTCCGATTGAGATCTGCTGCCAACCAAATGCCCCAAAATGCCCCGTAGGTAACTCCAGAAAATGGGGATTTAGGGAAAAAGAGCAGCGTACTTAGAACCAAAAGTTATTGTTTTTGGTCATAAACTTTAAATCCGAAGTCAAAACATACTTACCCTACCTTCCACCGTCGATTATTTATATATAGTCAGGTATCATACTCATTCGGTATGACATCGTTCTATTCATCGACTTGACAAGGTTATTCAGCTTGTTCCTTTGCCTCCCTTTTACGTCTACAGCCACTTTACGAAATTGCCACAAAGGTGGAACAGTGCCAAAATATAAGTTAAAACACCTCAGCTTATGAACAAAAATTCTCATGTTTTTTTTTTTTTTTTTTCCCAAACGGAGACATACGAAACCGAACAGGGCACGCGCGAGGTTGGATATTCTGTCACTTAATTTACTTCTTTCGAAAAGTTTGATTTTTACGCCGGACGAATATTTTTTAGAGCGAACTATATCTATATCTAAATCATAGGCAATGCTTTCACTAAAGCCCGCTTCAGAATACTTTTTCTCTCTTGCTGTGTGCATGGGGTAGGGAATAGTTACATTAATAAAACGGGAAAAGTAATCTGAATAATAAACGAGCTCTATCAAATCTCCAATCCATCTCCAATGAACGACGTCACAAAGTATGCGGTAAACAATTCTGGGAATTATTTTAATAATTCACTATCGATCTTGACTGGGATGAAGCCGTTGGAAACAGGGTCGGACTGGCTCGCATCTGAGGGCGTAGACCCTTTGGCTGGTTAAAGGGGCGTAATGTGATAATTCCATTTTCCTGGTAGGGCATCCCCCTACGTGGAGAGGGGTTCAGACAATTTTGGCAAAGCAGCGCAAGTTTACGCTATTTTCAGATTCAAAGTTTATTAATTGTATAGAGTAAAAATTGCAAAATTGAACGTATTGAAGTAACCGACAGACTACTAAAATTAAAAAAAAAACATGAAAAATTAAAGCCACTAGACGCATCCAAGCACCATTATTTCCAAAAGAACAGATCCAGTGCTGCGGTTTACATAAGCTTAAGACTTGGGTCTGCAAATCCATCCTAAAAAAAAATCACACAAGAACCTGAAAAAAGTAGAAAGAACTAGTATCAACACAGCCAAAGGGAGGAGAGATGTGTTCCGGCCTCTTTTTTAACTTTTCTCCCGAATCTGAGCGACACCTCAGTGACAGCTTATAGCAGAGCATTGAGAGCTCACGCTCCGCGTCATCGCGCCTTCAATTTTTCAGATGCAGCACGGACGTCCATCGAGCACGAATAGTTGTATCTCTGCGCCGTCGTAAACGCGCATCGCTTTCCCTCGCTGTATTTCCATATTGTGTTTGTTTCCGTTTCTCTTATTCGTGATGGTTCCTCGAACCAATACCATAGAGGAGATCAATGTGAGTTTACGACTCACGCCATCGCGTCTTAATTTTTTCATATGGAATGTGGACATCCATCTTGCGCGAACAGTTGTATCGCGTTTACACTTCAGATGTTTCTTATTTTTGAATTTCGAGATAAATTTAGGTCATTTTTGCCCGAGATATGCTATGGTATTTCCAAATCAACAGTCGTTTTGAAAAGGAAGAAATATGTTTGAAGGTCTCTCAAGAGTCTATAAAGAGTGAGTATGTGTAAAAATCGATCCGACCATCGCTTCTAAGGTAGTTACACATAGAGAATGAAAGAGGGGGATGATGAAGCGCGTGTGTGTCAACGAAAAGGTGAAAATTTTACAGAAAAGTGTTTACGCTTCAGAAAGTAGTTCTTGGACCTCTATTCATGACTATCATGCGATAAGCACCTTTCTTATAGTTTTTCGATCCACGATTAGGGCAATTGGCGGAGCTATATTGGTACATAGCAGCTCAATTTTTCAGTGGCGTATCCCATCCCATCCCACCTATGTATAATAGTTACCGTATCTATCTACCTATAATAGTTACCGGATCTATGTCAGCAATTCTTTCGTTCACGATGACTATCGTTAGATTTACGTTAGCTGTCTCAAATTTTGTAATTTTGTCCATTTTGATCTGATGAAGAACTGTATAGATTTTTGGTTAAATCGCTTTTACCGTTTACTTATAAACGGTAATTAACGTAAGTGCCCTACTTATGCTGTTTTCCACTAAACTGTTTTTATGAAAGTTCCATTCCTTGGTTTCCTTGATTACCTTTGTTTGCTATCAGCTGATGTTTTATTTCCATTTCTCGGCCAAGTCAACGGATTTTATACTTCCTTTTTTTTTTTTAAATCATTGCCAGGTTAGTTCTAATTTTTTGCCAGCATTTATACTACCCCTCCCCTCCCTAA